GAGGTAATAAACTTGTGTTTAGTAGAGGAGAAAAGACTGGCTTCTGCTAAGGATGATGCTTTTTGTTGTACTTGGAAACACACAGATTTGATTGAATTCAATAAAACACACACCGTAACAATACAATATGACAAAACAAAAGTTTACTACGGATTCTGTGGTTGAGCAGCAAAACTCTTTACATGTGAAAATACTTGACGTTTCCCCGGCGCACACACTGAATCTGGGTTTCAGGATGTTTTGAGCAGCTTTTTCTTAAACAGTCCTTTTAGTATATACAGACCTGACAAGTGTTTGCTTTATTCATCCGTAATCGATACAAAAGAAAACAGTCTGCCGCTGACAACACTCTGCATACAACATGTGCGTTAGATTATACATCCACACCGTCAGTGACACACACGCAGGCACATGCGCGTACGCTCACATTAGCATTGGCATGCAAATGAGTGGATTGATTTGTTAAGTGACATTTTAACATCCTTACAGACAGCTCTCCATAAGTCCTTAAAAGGGTTTTTTAGGGCCAATGAGGGAAGGAGGAGAGCATTCAGTGTCACCTCATTAAAGCCAAAGTGAAATCCAGCTCAATCCAGACCATAAAGCTAACCACAAACCGCAGCGAGGCCAGAAACTTCACTGATCCCTGAGACCAATGTAACTCTTGCAGACATGTAGCATGTGCAGAAACTTTCATTTTGAGCAAAAAAAATCACCAATAGAAGTCCAAAGTGAAGTAAAAAGAAAAAGGGATGAAAATAAAACACACCCAAGTGGAAGCAAAAATAAAAGCACTCCAAGATCGAGATCAGACGTTCGCTCCCCACGACTCCTGAGTAATCCTGCTTTAATGTCCGCCAGCTGCTTAATTGCAATCATTCGGTGTCTCCGGTCTGATGTCTAAAATAAAAATAGCATGCCTTGTATGAGTATATCACCCTCTAAAAAGTTACATTTTGACAGACACATCGTCAAACTGTCATTCTCAGTGTGTTTTTGTGGTGGTTTTTTAGGCTTTAAATTCACACTACAGCTACAGATGTTTTAGAAAGGAAATAATTAAAGTAATCTGAGACCTACACACAGAAGAGGCATGTTAATAATCAAAGCCCCAGCAAACTGGCAGTCGAGCAAAATAAGCATTTAATTCAGCAAGAGAAATTAGACATCCATTTGAATACTCTGGTGCTTTGAAAGGCAAAAAACTGATTAAGGTGAATGATGACATTTTCTTACATTGGAGAATATTCCAAATTATTGTTACCATTGGAAACAATTCACAGCACACAACAAAGGGGACCCCCTATGCTTCAAAGGTGTACTTTGTCAAATCCTTAACAATAGAAATGTGGGATTCCAGTGACTTCTACCCCCTATCAACATTTACATAAAGGCATGCTAAATTATTCATTAATTATCAGAGAGTCCCCAGTGGATGGGGGTGACACACACTGGCTGCTAATTGGCCCATCAATAATCATGCCGGGTTCTCTTGAAGTGGCACCAGATCCCACCTCAGGAATCTGCTATCTGGCCCAACCTTCTGCCATACTTTTTCCACAGCGTGGCAACACAGAAGGTGACGTTTCCACACCTGCTCACCTGAAGCTTTGTTAATGGGATGTTGGTACATGCCTGATTCCTGTTTTATACTCTCTGCTTATCAATCAAGTAGCGTTATGCAGTATTCTTTATATATAAGTATTTGTCCCTGTTGATTTTATTCAGATTCCCACAATCACTCTTCCATGACTAAATGACTACTGTGTTATTGCAATGATGGTATGGTGATAATAAAAAGGACAAGGTGATATTCGATTTTTTTTTTTTTTCACGCGATCTAAAGGTTTGATCGGTCACAAATATACAACTAATTATTTAGAAATATTAAATAATTTCCTAAAGTGTAATTTAGCAAATCGTTCTGCAACAGGAGTTAATTATGTTGGAATTGTATCTTAATGTGCGTTTGGTGAGCTGGTGAGGACAATGGCTTAAGATAAACTACAATTGCTTTTGCACAAAGGTTGATGTGTATGGTACATATTTTTATAGACTAATTGTGTTTTTTGTTTTCATGGGATCTGTTGGAATTATATTTTTTACTATAATCATTTTTATTTGATATCATTCAACGAAACTTGACATGTTACTGTTTAAATGAATTGCTGAAGAATGTGCTGCTAATGTGTGATCCGAAGTACTGTCAGAATGTGGCTCTCCTTTTACTTCCATCCTTACACTTTGCACTTTTTGAAAGCACTTGGAAGAACCATGATCAAGGCAGTTCACAGTATCCCCACAGGCGAAAGCCGATATTTTTTTGAATCTCTGAAATCCACTGAGGTAATTTCCTACAGCTAGACTTCAGTCACAGAGTACTGCTGAGCCTTTCGTCAGACGGACAAACAAATAATAAACAGCTATACACTTACAGTGCCAACACAGCGCACACACACACACTCATCCGCCTACTATCACTTTTCCTCTCCCTTTCCAAATGGTACATGCAAGTGATCTCCATAAAGGCATGCCTCGAGAGGGATCTGCAATAACATGGCTGCTCTTTGTTTCCCCCGAGCTGATTGACAGTAGATTGCAGTGCACATTAAATGCCCATCAGCCCCAGCTTTAGTTTTAGAAACAGGGGAGCAGGGCCTGTCAAAGGTCAATCCTAGCGCATAATGAACTGATCTCTTTCTTTCTCGCTTAGACGCACACACACAAACACACAACTGAACACACACACACACACACACACACACACACACACACACACACACACACACACACACACACACACACACACACAACTGAACCTCACTCTGCCTGCTATTATAGTCTGCTTGAATAAAGCTGTTTTCCCTGGTTTCTAATGTTACATTAATACAAATGATATTATATCATAGCCTTCAAATCTGCTTGACACTGAGAATATGCTGATGCAAGAAGCACAGTTAGACATGAAGTCTAGACTGTCTTGTGCTCAAGGGGTGTTCTGTTTTATCTTAATATCAAATGTTTGCATAGTTTCTTTGTTAAAATGATCAGGCTTAAACTGAACATTTTCAAGTGAGCCACACAAACGGGAAAAGATCAGTAAGATCTCTTTCCTTCTGCTAATTTCGTTCACTCTACATCTCTCAGAGCAGTGATTGCATCTAAGGTGGGCACGTTCGAAAAGACACACGTGTGTAATAACCAGTAGACACAGATTAAATCTACACATAGGAAAAAAACCAGTCTGTCTACAGTAGTTACACAGTTTTCATAGACGTTTGAGTCAGATTTCTCAATACAAGTGCGAATAAAATACCCATCTATCTGTACCAATGCCAAAACAATCCTCTCTAAGAGCTTACTAAAAGAGAATTCAAAATGTTTTCTAAAAACTCTCAAATTGTTATGTTGTCCAATAAGTGCCCAAGGAGACTGTCAGTAAACAGGATTTTCCTGTTCCTTGCTGAGTGCCAGCTGTAACTCCATGAACTCTAATGATTTTGGATACAAAGCACTACAGAGTGAGGTCTGGTCACTCACTGAACCACATATTTACTTGGATGGACAACATTTTTATCCTAGTTTGATCTCATAGGTTCCATAATTATAGGTGTGGTTAACCATCCAAGCTGACAATAGTGATAAACATCTCGGAAGAATATAATATTCTAGAAGTAAACAATAAAAACTCAAACAACATGCAAACCAAAGAAGTGCAGGAACAAAAACACGTCAAATTTATAAAACAAATATCTCCCATATAAATAAAAAAGGTCATGTGAGAAAAAACATTTAAATATAGATCACGAGAAACTCTTTTAAAACACATTTTACCAGAAAATATCTTTCTATTAACATACAGTACATATATATCTTTTATATTATCGTCGAGACTATGGATCGACACAAAACAATAATAGTTTTACATTTTGCACTTACATGTTATTTTGAATAATGCTCTTTCTACATAGAGTTAAGGACACCATTTTGTTAATTACAAAATGTTCTGATATGTAATACTCCGTCCTAGTAAGTTGGTTTATATCACACATTAAAACCTAATATACTTTTTTTCTTGACAACAGAGGGTTGTTTTGTTCTAGGTACTAATTTAATGTTTTTTTCTTCTTTTCACACAGCGTTTATATTGCTTGGCTTCTCATTAGTTCAGATTATGGAATTTGCGACGGCATCAAAACAAATTTAAGTCTGTACTCAAGTTACAGTTAAAACATCATCATACCTCCGCCGTACAGTCTCCTCTTTATACCCGCGCTCTCCTCCCTGATTGAAAGTTGTAATCAAGAGAGTGCGGAAGAATTAGATGCAGAATGAGCTGTCAGAAAGTCACATTTAAGTGAGGGATGCCTTGGCCTCTGCAGTAAAAATGTAAATGATATAAATTGCCATTTAAGTGTAGCACAGGCTAATGTTTTGTCACAAATTAATGTGACACAAGGCAGCAATGACAATCAAGGGCTGCCTCATTCTAATTTGGTCGTGTTTAGAGGGCTTTTGTGAGGCGACAGCTTTACACAAATTAACACAATTGCCTGTTTTTATGAGGAAACCATAAATGTTTTTTCCCTCCTTTGCCGTCTAATGAGGAGAGAAAACGGCTTGTATCTCAGCGTTATGTCGACGTCTGCAGAAGATCAACACGGTGCTCTTATCCGCCCATAACCAGCAGAGAAAAGAACAAAGACAGAGGCTGAAATGGCTCCCTAATGAACTACAAGACACCTCTAATGTTTTGATGCTCCCATATGATCAGATTTGGATTACCTCTGCTTTTTGCTCATTATGGAAATCATTGTCAGATTGTGTCACAGGAACAATTAGAACAATTCAGCTTTCTCTGAGGAACTCATCTCTGAAGGGCATTAGTGATAACTGCTGTTTAGTAATGGGATGGGGAACATGATCGGGGAGCAGTATTATGTTTTTGTACAGTGTGTATTTACATTTACAATACTAGTAATGCTCTCTTCCATTTACAGGCTCTGGAGAGCGAGTTTGTGTCCTGCCAGCTCCACCAGTGGATTGATCTGATCTTTGGCTACAAGCAGCAAGGACCTGAAGCCACCAGAGCTCTCAATGTCTTCTATTATTTGACCTACGAAGGGGCTGTCAACCTCAGCTCCATCACCGACCCCATGCTCCGAGAGGTGAGGCACATTATGCATACACACACTATTTAATACACATTTACTGTTTGTACTACAACGTTGGTTTAACTCCCTTGACGGATCATGCTGAGTAATGGAAAAAAACGCGTTTGCACTCTCAAATGGATGCTTAATCTGACTATATTATAAAAGCATCTGTCCATTCAGTGCCTTTATATTTCTGGGATATTTTTGATGCCATTAGCCATGTTAAATAGGTTGTAGAATGGCACGGGAGAGCCCAGCTAACAATCTACTGGCAGGTATTGCTGAGCTAAGCCTTTCCCTTGTGTGATACGTCTGAGAGCACTCTAGCAAGTGTTCCACTTTATTGCCTTAAAGCCTCCTCCTTGGCTTTCATTCATTATTCATCTCTCCGACTTTGAACTGCTACACAGGCCTGCCGGAAAGCAACCACACAAAACACTGTGCTGAAAAGAAAAACACTTCTAGCATGCCCTCAGCCAAACACGGGCCTGACAACTTCACCAATCTGCATTAAAGGGCAGCCAGCAGCAGGACAATTGACCCAGCTCCCTTTAGCCTTTCCTATGTTTAGCTTGTGTTGCCAAAAGTAGCACACATCCTATTTTGATTCTCGTCAGAGTATTGTCCAAAGGCTTTGTAAAGGGTTTCTTCTGAAGGATTATTTTAGTTTTTTACAGTGTTTTATTTTTCCACTCTAAGCCAATTAAACAGTTGACTAAACAAAGTCATTGCTGAGATCTGTAAATGAAATTGATACTGCTATCATGACCGCTTTTTTTTCCTATTCTATGGGTTTTTCCACTTAGTTTCAAGAAAATATTAGTTTTATTTTCTTTGAGGCTGCTGACAACCAACAAACCGAACCCAGAATAATAACTCCTCCTTGGCGAAGGTAACAAGACCCAAGTTTGCAATAAACCATATTTATTATTTAGGTAAAGGCCCTAATTGTATTTAGCTCTAAATGGAGATGAGTTCAGAGTATATCAAGGGGCCGAGGTGAGTCCCTCTGCTGTTCTGCTGCCCTTCATGCTCAGTGACTGGAGCATCACGGACACTAGGGCTGGATCATTGATTTATCACCTCATTCGCCCTAATTCCCATCCAGATGTGCTCTGGCCTTTATCTACACACAAACACATAAACACACACACACACACACACACACACACGGACACACACACACACACGGACATGCAGATTCATTACCAAGGTGCACCGGCCATTCCAGACTCAGCCCATTACCCATTCCCCTGGTTAAACGCAACCACAAAATTGGATCACCGGTAGAGCACTATTTCTGCCAAGCTGTTTCCCTGACAATAGGACAGATAAATCTACACGCATGCAGGACACCATCGGAGGCAGGTGCATATAATTTGAGTGGTATTAAAATAGCCCCTCATGCCCTCCCACTTATAGATTTTAGATATACATGCTGCTGAATACATGGTTTACACACATTTGTAACATAACTAAGGAATAAAGTACACATTTTAAAGCGTTTAGATTGTGTGCATGTGGATGGGAAATGCATTGCTGTACACACAAATCAATGCTTTTATTGAAAACATATGTGGTTATTTATTTACATTAATTGTCCCAACATTTAATTTAGACTTAAATGATGTTCTATTAATTTTAACACATTTGATATATTTTAGTGTACACATTTATATATATATATGAATACATATGAAAAAAATCTGCAAGTTTGTTCAATTCATAGCAGTAAAAAAAGGGAGTTTGTAGTTTTCTCCAATCACTCCCTCTCTGATGCTGTGAGTCCAAACTGCTGGCTTTAACCTTTTGAAAACACCCTCTGTCTGAGCGCTTTAATTAGTTAAATAAACCAAAGCAGTGTTATCCCTGTGAGCTAAGCCAAGGCTCTCCTTCAACCGTGTTTGTACGGAAGGAAGCTTGCCCTGTCTGTGCAGAAGGTGGAAACAGAGTTCCAGGCCTGGCCCTTGTCAGGTCCGGGCGCTGGGGGTGGCGGAGGGCTTTGGGTCTGAAAATGTCCCCAGAGTTTACCATTACTGAGTGACAACTGTTTCAGCCCGAGCTGTGGTCCGGGCCAGGCTCGGCCGCATTAGGACAGGCCCCGGGGCTGTTCATTGTCAAGGGGAGGGGCCACAGACGTGTGTGTGTGTGTGTGTTCGGGTCGGAAAAGGTAGATGATTGGGGCAAATAGTTCTGTATTCCTGCCACGCTGTATTGGCAGCCGCTAACTCCCACCCACCCCGATTTAACACGCACAAACACTCTGTATAGATCCTACCTTGATACGTTTGTACATACACATGTGTATGCTTCCATTGGCATGTGTATACCTTTGTATATTTATGCGTGCTCATCAGCATAAATGCACACGGTTGAGTGTTTATGTGTACGTTTCTGTTCTGGGAGAGTTTGGAATATCTCAGCACAGATTAGGGAATGTTGTGGAGACCACTGCTGTGTTTTTGAAAACCATGATTACTTCCTGTCCTGCCTCCGCCGCAAGTCAAAACGTACCCCCACTCTCTCTCTCTAAGAGAACTGCTGTGTGTCTGCAGATGCATTCATGTGTGTGCGTGTGCACCCGTGTGCGTGGCATGCATGCACATCTGTGTTGCCTCTCAGTGTATAAAGAGAAACACACCCTGTGTTGCCTTCTCATCTTTGTACAGGGCTTCCCCTCTTTCACGTCTGAATTGTACAGCATTTGCGTAATTCGGCAGAAGACGGGAAATATACCCACGAGTGAACCTGCCTTGACACTCAGCCAAAATCGTTCACCAATCACAGGGCACTAGTTTATTTTTCTTGGAGAATATAACCCTTCACTGTATTTGTTTTTTTACATTAAATTCACAATTTTAAAATATGACAATCTTAAGCGAAAGACGCAGATTACCCCGCAAGGCTACTTGGCAAAAACACAAGGCCATCGTAGTATTTATTGTTGGGGCCATTTGCATAAAAGCAGCATGTTTTACATGGAGATCCATCTTGTCAAGTGGCTGAGTAAATCAAAGGGCACGTTGGGACATCTGAGCCATTTAAATGTATAGAATATAGAAAACCTTCATCAGACACGGGCCAGTGCCCCCAAAAGAGATTGGCCTTGTGGATGGCCCCTCATATAATCACCTGAGCATCGCATTGGCATATAGGGAGAGGACATGCTGACCTAGACTCAGCCACTTTCCAACGTTCCACTGCCTCATAAATGTCGGAGCTGAACTTAATGAAGATAGGTTGAGTGGCTTTGAGGAGTCTCATCCTCACATTAGCTTAAGCAAAATGCCCCGCGGAGAGGGGAGGCACTTTGACCTTGAATGATGCACTGATGTCCTCTCACTAACAGACTGACTGTGAGATGGAAAATGTTGAGATTCTCTGTCAGGATCAGTAATGAGGTCACGTGCAAAGGTGGTCTTTGATATCATTGAATGAACAGAATGGCCTTTTATTTAAAAACATTTTAATGACGCGTGTAACACTCCAGACTTACCCACAATACTGGATTATTGAAGCATATCTGTGTGGACCAGTATGTTTGCAAATCTTTATGTATTTAGGTCTTCATACAGTTAATGTCATTATTTGTATTTAAGCTCTCATAAAGTATACTTGTTATAAAAACCACCAATAAAATAATTACATTTTTGTGGATGAATTAAACCAGTTTTTGTTTTACTAGAAGATATAAAAATAATATTTAAGCTCCCGGAGGGGAAAGCTGAATGAATGTGCAAAATTAGAGTTAACAAGGCTTCCATAATGTTGAGTAAAATAAGGGGATTCACTAGTAAAGATTACAATAGAAAATGTTGTTACCTCGTCTGTGTGTGGAATAGTTTTAAAAACGTATAATATACAGTTGAGATTGCTCCTTCTCTGCGCCTCTCTGGTTAGTTTCAGACAATGGGTATGAGCAGACTAACTTCCCAACCTTTTTCTCATGGAAATCCCATATGCAGGCCTCAGCCATGAGCTCATTCTCTCAGGCCTCGCCAAGTCAGGCTCAAACGTCTCAGCCTACACAAGCTGTCACTCCCACACAGCCAGTCATAGTGCACACTGACGCTCTGTCATCGTTTTGTGTTGGCCACTTTCTCTCTGCCTGTCCTTTTTTATAAACATCTATCAAGCTGTAAGGGAGATTTTCTGCTTAATGTTGTTATACCAATTCCCACAGACACTTATCTTGCATTCTTTTCTGTACTTTACATGTGTCAGAGGTTGTTGTTTGTTTTTCATTGGATCACTAAATCCTGAAAAAGTTTTCAACATTGTCCTCAATACAAAAACGTTTTCAGTTGCAATCTTTGATAATAGTATAAAGTGCAGAGTATGGGACACGTTGGTGTGGGCCTGCTACATCGTGTGCGTGCGTGCGTGCGTGCGTGCGTGCGTGCGTGCGTGCGTTTCCCGGCCTGACAGTGAGCTGTGTGATGATGTCCAGAGGCTGCTCGGCCAGCGTCTGCTCTGACATTTATGGTCCTATACCTCTTCATTAACACCACCTAACCAGCCTACAAGCCCTCCTGTCCTGGCCCTCCTCTGATTCTGTGTGTGGTTGTGGAGAATAAATTGGTCCATGTGTGTAAATGTGTGTGTGAGAGAGGGAATGTGTCAGACAGTGAGAAAGTATGTTTATATGTACGACGTGTGCATCAACAGTGGAAGCATTTCTTCCTACGCTGCAATAGTTTTTGTAATTATCTCTTTGTTTTCTTTTTGTTGAGACACTAATCTCAGATTGATGAGTATTAATGAGAAGTGAATATATAAATACAATTTACAATGTTTTTACATCAATGTGACGTATTATATCATTTTTAATTTATTTTATTGATCAGCCAAAATCACCATTTTTTGTTTTTCTTGTTCTGTAAATGGATGCTGAAATGTACTTTGTACCAATATCTAGCTACTTTTGTAGTGATACTGTAGCACTATTCTTTAAAACTGCCATCCCTTTTATGATATGCAATATGTTTTCCCCTGATTGCAATGGCTTTACTTTTACATTATGCACTTTTTAGTTTTTGAGGAAAACGTTTTCTTTATATCACTCCTTTTTCTTTTCCCCTCAGGCTGTGGAGTCTCAAATAAGGAGTTTTGGACAGACCCCCTGCCAGTTGCTCATCGAGCCACACCCACCCCGAAGCTCAGCCATGCAGGTGGTGAGTAATCACGCACATACAGTACTTGCTGGCAGATAATCTCAAAGACACACACACACACACACACACACCACACACACACACACACACACACACACACACACACACACACACACACACACACACACACACACACACACACACACACACACACACATATTTACCTGTAGTCCTTCAGAACATACTACCATACAATATGGGTCAGAATCCAGCTGAGCTCCAGAATCATCCATTGTGCTGTCTTAATGCCCTCTCTGACTTCTGGTGTGCCCTGAAGTAGGCACTCTGCTTTGCTTCATGTAACTCTTATAATGTTTGACTTTCTCTTTTCATCCTCATTTTGCCATACACTTTCTTTGTATTCATCTTAAAACTGTGGGAAAATAAAGTCTAGGGTTTGAAAGCATCTCCTCTCTCGTCATTAGAGAGGTGTGTGTGAAAGGGAAAGATCAGAAGCATTTGTGTGCATGTGTGTTTAGTGAGAGGTATGCAAGGAAAGGCACAGCTTTGTGCTGGAAACCTGGGTCCCAGCCAGCTTTTCTACCTGAGCTGGAAAAGGAGATCAACGAAGGAGGGCAATGAACAGCAGCAGTGAAGTGACGGCTTTTTAAGGGCCAGGGAGTGCAGTCAGTGTGCCTGCCTGTGATGGGCCCGGGCCCCATGAGTCCCTATTAGTGTGGTGTCCCTGTGGCGCTGACAGCTGGCTGTAGACCACCACCCAGCGCACACACACACACTCAGACACAAACTCAGGCAAGGCTTTGAAACCGCCTCACTCATGCGCAAATTCCTAAATGTTTTTATTTTTGCTCTGCCATGTATAGTTTTCAAACATAATATTCAGAGGCCATTATTCAAACACATTTCTAACCCTCCCCATCCGTCAGTATTCCCGCAGAACGCCCTGTTCTCGTTGCTTTTACATGTTCATGCTCTCTACTTTCTCTCATCCTCTCTCATGTGAGTGTGTTGTCAGAGTGTCTGCATCCGCCCGTGCTGGTGGTAATGATACTGTCAGTGCGTCTGGTTAGCTGTCAGACACACCGGATTTACTCAGGTCTGTTCCCGATGTTAACACTGATGTTCTTCTTCTTCACACGCAAGCAGGAAAATGGCCTCGTGTTAGAGCTGCTTAGTACAAACACTTTGTAAATGGCTCTATATGAGCTCCCGTCTGCAGGGACACGGTTTCAAGTGTCAATGGAAACACTTTTTTTGTTAGGACTGCATTGTTGGTTTTTCTATTGGTTATGCTGAAGTTACAAGTTTATTATAATGCAAGTAAAATTGTATTTCAACGATTTTAGACAGAAATGATATTGCCTTAGAGTTTGTTAAGTACGGAGCCCCTGTCCGTAAAATTAAATCTGAGTTCGAAATATATCTCAAATAATGTATGCACTGTAATTTCCCCACATAAACATAACAGTCTGCAATGAAATGGTTGTCTCCTGTGTGCTCCACTTCCTCCTTGGCGCACCGGTAACTTTCTCAATGAAAAAAAAAGTCGGGATAACGGGTTAGTTTCTCGCGCACACAAGATACGTTCTCGTGCTCACGAGAAACTTTCATGTCCCTCCGTAGTACTGTGATCAATCGTCATTTATTGTCATTTATCCAGAATTTGTTCATTTTTAAATTCCATCGATTAATAGGAAATGTATTATTGAGATGCATTGATAATAAATATATTGGTTAGCTGCAGTTTTACGCAGAAGAATAACCTGGATTTAATGTAAAACACATTACTGTTTACCACACTTACTAACACTGTGTATTTATGACAGACTGCAGACATTTAAAAAAACATATACAGTAAATACTTTGGACATGAATTTGTAAAATAAATAATGTGCGTCTGATCTGTTTTTCCAGAAAAAACATAATGTTCCTTGCAAAAAAAACATTTAAATTACGTCCACTCTTCCACTCAATGGAAAATCAAAACTGGCTACTAGTGTAAAACTCTGAATCCATCATTCTGCACAGTGAACAAACATTTCTGACTGAACAAGGCCTTTAAAACATCTTAGAAGGCTTTGTCTTTTGTCACACTTTAATGTATTAACTTTTCAGGTGAAAAATCTATTTGAGATTTTTTCCATTCCTAATTTTCCCTTCACACTGTTTCAAAAGGGATCTCTTGCCTTTAACCTCTTTTCCTAACCCGTGCTACTAGAGTGCTGCTTACTGCTCTCCTGCTCAAGCTTCCTAACTTTCTCTCTGTCCTTCTTTTCCTCCCTCTCCCTCTGTTTGTTCCTCACTAACACCGGCTGCGACTGCTTCTCTCGTCTTTTTTGATTTGCTCTTTGTCTGCCGCTCCATATGTCGGCTCTTTTTTCCCTCTCTTCCCTTCATCCCGTTGTCCGTCCTGGGGTCCTGAACAGTATCTTCTCCTGCAGACCCCACTGATGTTTACGGAGCAGATGCAGCAGGATGTTATCATGGTGCTGAAGTTCCCATCCAACTCTCCTGTTACCCACGTAGCAGCCAACACCCAGGCGGGCCTGACGTCACCGGCCATCATCACCGTCACTGCAAACCGCATCTTCGCTGTCAACAAGTGGTATGGACTGACAGGTAAGAAACTTGTGTCCATGCACTCATCATTGTCTCTCTGCTTTGAAAAAGGTGGAATAACTTGAATCCTCACATTTGTATGCCATTGTGATTCTGCACCAAATGAACCTTAAAGGGCACCTATTATGCAAAATCCACTTTTTCATGTCTTTTATACATAAACATGTGTCCCCTCGGTGTAAAGAGATTCTGAAAGTTTCAGGAAAAAAATATTTGCTCACTTTTTGTCCTGATCCATTTCTAAAAAACAGTCTGAAAATGAGCTGATCAGATTTTGGCCACTTTGTGATTTAATAACGTTTTTTTGGTTTGTGTAACCATTAGCCAATCACCAACCAAGGTAACCCCCCCCCCCCCCACCTTATCACCTGAATCTCCTCCTAGAGCACCTTTGTGTTCTTTTTAACCAAATATGGCGTGGGGAGGGGCTCTTTATTTTCATCTAGTCTAGAGTAACAGACAGAGAATCAGCACTTTTGAAACAGGGCTGAAACAGAGGGGTTTATGGGATGCTGCAATGTTCTGTATTTCAGAAAAACACTTCAGAGACATGTTTGTATATATCTCAGACTTATAATATATTGATGAAAAACAGTATAATAGGGGACCTTTAAGGGTTTTCAAAGCAAGTACATACAATATTTTGCTACCACACAATCATCTTCACATTTGCTCATCTCTGTCCTCCATACTCTGCATCTAATTTACCCGAGAATTGACCCGTCTCGTCTCTGTAGGATGGACGTTGATTTGGGAGATGGTTGACTGTGTCTACTGGATAGCAGTATCACATGTGACACATGCAGCAGCCAGCATTAGGTCTCACGTCCGACTCCATACATCAGCCTCTCACTTCACAAAACCTTATTTACTCAGCATCCATCTGAACCCTGGATGAAACATTACATTTGATTTCTGTGAATTTATGAGGATGAAGACTTTGAGTTGAATGCAGCCGCATCCATGCGCACCACAGAACAGACTGATTAAGCTAATTGGTTTAGTGAGCTGGTATGATAAACACGATGTCTGCTGTTCAGAAGTACTTCATTAATTGTATGGATTTACTGGAATCTTTGTGTGGCTGTGAGCAGATGAAAGTACATTTACGTTATTTATCAATTCAACATTCAACAATAAAAATGAAGAATTTGTCTACGAAAATGTTGAAAGACATTATTCACATTTTGTTTTGGAGTGGGTGCAGCTAATGAACATTGCACATAGTTAATGAACAATTCGGTAAGATAAATGGTTTGAGTCAGCTTGTGTAAATTTAGATTGAAATCATGGAGTATTTCTTCAGTTTTTCCTGCCATTTAGAAGCTAAAAAGTAAAGAAGAAAGTCAGATATAGTCTTCAGATGGAGATAGCATTTGTCAGACATAGAAAGACATATGAAGACCTCTATTATGAAATATTGTGGCATTCTTACTGATTTTAACCATTTTTATAGACTGAACAATTAATTGCTTAATCAAAAATAACATTAAGCCATTGATTACAAATTAACATTATCATAAACTGTCAGCAGTTGCCTGAAAGACATTTTATTTTAATTCTACCATCAACACTTGATGACGCATACGTCTGTTAGTACCATCTTGTATCAGTTTACCAATACATGCTGACAGCTTCAGTGATAGGGTTGTGCAAATGCATGCATTTTATAGCATATATATATTTGGCATAAGGACCTCTGTGGCCTTGGTAGCTCTTTGACATAATTGATGTCTAATTTGCGGGAGAACTCTTGGGCTGTGACTTTATGGTTATAATTTTCAGTGTGGTTATAATGAACAGAAAGCCAGCATCGACTTCACAAGGCCACATGATTACAATATTAATCCAATCTGTCTTCTTCTCTGTCAGGTCATCAGAGCTCAACGGTGCAGGACCAGCAGTACCAACTTCCTGTGGAAATTGACCCTCTGATAGGTAGGCTGTCTTTTATGACTGTGAAAGAGTCCACACACATGTACATTCTTTACATAGTGTGAGCTTATATAGGCATGAAAATATTTTTTTGTGCGTATTCGTGTATGAATCCCGCTGGCATCTGTGTGACTCATGGCGGTGTGTGGCGCGTCCCTGGACGGCAGATTAGAGTTGTTCCTCCGCCTCTGCCCCAGTTCACTCCTCATGATATAGGCCCTGCTCTCACACTAAACCATTTGCATGCAAATTGGAATGCAATGAGCTGTGGCCTAGGCCGGCGTTTCATCATCAACTCCCCCTCTTTCTCCCTCTCCATCGTCCCCTTCCCTCCCTCCCTTTCTGCATCCTCTTTGGTTTAATTTGAGCGGAGGGAAAGGACGCGTGTCAATGGAAATGAATATGAATGTGGTAATAATGTGTGATTGAGAATGCACGGCGGACGGCTGTCAGGACAATATGGGCGCCTCTCATCCTTCACGACTTGTTGATGAGCAGGAGAAGAGAGCCGAGCTGCAGTGATGTATGGGATGCACTGGTGGAGAGAGACGAGCCTCTTCTTCTCTCTGTTCCCACCTTCGCCTTCGTCACGTTGCTGCAGCCTCTCACAGCCTCACATACATCTGCAGGAGAGGCTGTTCTTTCTCCGAGAACGCTGTGGTCACTTTTAGGCTCACCATTTCCACACATTTTTCCTCTATACACTTGACTACAGAATTTAACAAAGCTTTGTTCTTACATTCTCATATGTATCTGCTAGTACACTGTGTCGTCTGCTGTACATGCAGAATAAATTAAATCTTATCTCATCAAAATGTTTTACGAGACCTTTATAGTTGTTGAGCGTTTTTGAAAGCACATTTTTCAGGCTAATTTTGTCCAATAAATCTTTATAGTTTTGTCTACAGTTGTTTTCTCTTATCTCATACTTTGTCAAAACTAAAGCATGAATAATGTACTGGAAAATATATTTTTATGTTTGTGAGTGTGCTATCTTGTGTGGGGGAGGTAGAGGGGATTTCTGTCAGTGATAAATGTACACTGTTTGCATTCCAGAGGAGTCCGAGCTAAACACAGTAAATTGAGGATGAGTGTTGAGCCGAGTGTGGAAATGTTAAAAATGGTTTGAAATATTGGTTGTAGCAGGTATGCTGGACTTTATCATTTTCATTGCTACACAATCTTCTCTGACACCTGTTCTCCAGTGCGTGTGACCTCGCCAAATAACAAACACTTCACAGTGGACATGTCTCTCTAGGGAAGAAAAAGATTCCACTTGCAGAACAGAGAGTATCAATAAATTTGCTTTCCAAACAACGGTAGGCTAAATTACACAACTAAGATGAATTGGCAGTGTGTGTTCTGACTTTAGTGGTGTGCACATTTTGTGAAGACTGTGCTCACGCTATCATTACTCTTCGACTCTCACGGAAACATGTGAAGTCCTGTAAACTTAACATCCAGAATGTTTTATGTATTATCTCGCAAATCTTATATTCACCCTGTGGTGAAGTGGTGTATTTGAGTGTGACCTATAGGAAAATTGTGTGTGTTGTTGGGTCATAGATTTTATATACAGTGGGGCAAAAAAGTATTTAGTCAGCCACCAATTGTGCAAGTTTTCCCACTTAAAAAGATGAGAGGCCTGTCATTTTCATCATAGGTATACCTCAACTATGAGAGACAAAATGAGAACAAAAAATCCAGAAAATCACATTGTCTGATTTTTAAAGAATTTATTTGCAAATTATGGTGGAAAATAAGTATTTGGTCAATAACAAAAGTTCATCTCAATACTTTGTTATATACTCTTTGTTGGCAATGACAGAGGTCAAACGTTTTCTGTAAGTCTTCACAAGGTTTTCACACACTGTTGCTGGTATTTTGGCCCATTCCTCCATGCAGATCTCCTCTAGAGCAGTGATGTTTTGGGGCTGTCGCTGGGCAACACAGACTTTCAACTGCCTCCAAAGATTTTCTATGGGGTTGAGATCTGGAGACTGGCTAGGCCACTCCAGGACCTTGAAATGCTTCTTACGAAGCCACTCCTTCGTTGCCCGGGCGGTGTGTTTGGGATCATTGTCATGCTGAAAGACCCAGCCACGTTTCATCTTCAATGCCCTTGCTGATGGAAGGAGGTTGTCACTCAAAATCTTACGATACATGGCCCCATTCATTCTTTCCTTTACACGGATCAGTCGTCCTGGTCCCTTTGCAGAAAAACAGCCCCAAAGCATGATGTTCCCCCCCCCCCATGTTTCACAGTAGGTATGGTGTTCTTTGGATGCAACTCAGCATTCTTTCTCCTCCAAACACGTCTCGTTGAGTTTTTACCAAAAAGTTCTATTTTGGTTTCATCTGACCATATGACATTCTCCCAATCCTCTTCTGGATCATCTAAATGCTCTCTAGCAAACTTCAGACGGGCCTGGACATGTACTGGCTTAAGCAGGGGGACACGTCTGGCACTGCAGGATTTGAGTCCCTGGCGGCGTAGTGTGTTACTGATGGTAGTCTTTGTTACTTTGGTCCCAGCTCTCTGCAGGTCATTGACTAGGTCCCCCTGTGTGGTTCTGGGATTTTTGCTCACCGTTCTTGTGATCATTTTGACCCCATGGGGTGAGATCTTGCGTGGAGCCCCAGATCGAGGGAGATTATCAGTGGTCTTGTATGTCTTCCATTTTCGAATAATTGCTCCCACAGTTGATTTCTTCACACCAAGCTGCTTACCTATTGCAGATTCAGTCTTCCCAGCCTGGTGCAGGTCTACAATTTTGTTTCTGGTGTCCTTTGACAGCTCTTTGGTCTTGGCCATAGTGGAGTTTGGAGTGTGACTGTTTGAGGTTGTGGACAGGTGTCTTTTATACTGATAACGAGTTCAAACAGGTGCCATTAATACAGTTAACGAGTGGAGGACAGAGGAGGCTCTTAAAGAAGAAGTTACAGGTCTGTGAGAGCCAGAAATCTTGTTTGTTTGTAGGTGACCAAATGCTTATTTTACCGAGGAATTTAACAATTAATTTATTAAAAATCCTACAATGTGATTTCCTGGATTCTTTCCCCCCATTCTGTCTCTCATAGTTGAAGTGTACCTAGGATGAAAATTACAGGCCTCTCATCTTTTTAAGTGGGAGAACTTGCACAATTGGTCTCGCAAAATAAATACTAAATACTTTTTTGCCCCACTGTATATGTGCACCTTTGTACATATCCTACCTTTTTTATTTGATTTGTTCATTTCAATTGTCTTCCTCTCTACAGCCAGTAACGTGGGCAGTCATCGTCGTCAGATCTCAGACCTGCTGGATCAAAGCATTCAGATCAGCTCGCAGTGTTTCATCATCACAGCCGACAACCGCTTCATCCTCCTGTGCGGCTTTTGGGACAAGAGCTTCCGGGTTTACTCCACTGACTCAGGTATTTTCATGCTACACTCCCAATGAGATCTTTTCTGCAGTGTTTTTATGTCTCAGACACAGCAGACATTAAATGTAAAACTTTTAACTTAAATACAGCCTCTTTTTTTAAGCTTCAAAGTTCAAATGCACTACACCTTTTGTAGAATATTCGTCAGAATATAATAAATGTATGTCACATTGCCATGAACATGAGCCACATCAGTGTGTATCAAATGTCATTCTTGCACTCGTATCAAAAATATAATGGGCACATTGTCATGAGATGTACTGAGCACATAATCCACCCTGAAAATGAACTATTTCTAATTTAGACGCTCCATGAGCTTTCCTCATTGTTAACCACTAGCTAAAATATCAATAAAAGATGCCCCTTAATAAAATACCTCCATGAAATGTGATATACACATGCTATTAGAGGTATAAACCTCTTATGTTAATACTCCCCATTGCCTTTCCTCTAGCACCATCCTCAGGACAAAATCCCACTTTTAGCCCCACTACTAGTAACACTCAAAGGAAGACAAAGAACATCAATATTTCTATTTGATTTTGTTTAACACTCTTGAATCGTGGAGTGCAATGGATATTACAGCCTCTAGCAGGCGCTAGTAAACTTTAGCTTTCTAATACTGAAAACAAAATAGTATTCAGTCTATGCTCCAGATGTGCTCTGCTTCATTGCACTGTGCTGAATTGTATTGTAACTTTACAAGTGAAATCAATGTACACAATGACTTGCTGTTATTATGACAGTAGCACACAATCTTCGTTTTTTGTTGCCAGTTTAAGGTATGTGTGCTATACCTTTTCAATTTGAGCTTAATGTCTTTCAAGTCAGCATAATTTCCTTTAAGATATTCTTTTTGTAGCACATAAATCACTTTTGTATTGTAGAGTTCAGTGATTTAGATTAGAGAAACTTTAAATGAGGCTACATGACATAAATAGGAACCTTTTGATCTAATTGGAAAAAACTCTAGTCTTTCATAGAGGCATTGTATTTCCCTCTATACAACTGACTTACCAGATATTCTATCATACACGCCTGCAATGCAGATGCACACACACACACACATACACACACACACACACACACACACACACACACACACACACACACACACACACATACACATACACACATACACATACACACATACACACATACACACACACATACACACACACATACACATACACACACACACACACACACAGACCCACACAGACCCACACACACGGATGCCATCAGGTCAGGGGTCCTAAATGAATCTGTCTGAAGCCTCATCTCTGCACGCCGCTCCTCTACCGATACCCCATTCAGAATCCTACACACATCTATACAACACACTCCGATTCAATTTCTATAGGCCAGCCCCCCTGTCTTTAATAGAGGAGGGATGGAGCACAGAGATAGCTCTATTGTGTCGCTGCCACCGGGTTGTGCGGCTGGAACGTGAACACAGTTTAATCGCACACGCTCAACAGCTGCTGCCGCGGTCCCTGAAGCCCCCAGGTTAAAGAACTGAGGGATTTTATCAATTACAAGACTTGATTGGTACACGTGCACACAACACATAGTCTCGTACGCCTGCGTGCACACACATCCAATTTAATTTGTCTGTGTGCATGCATGTGTGTGTGTCTGTGAGCGGTGTGTGTTCAATACGAGCTGCATGGTAGCCATTATTTCTGCAGCAATCATTACTTATTGTCAGTGTTTATAAAGATGTCAAACATTTTATATCTTTGATGTCTGTGTTCTTCTTTGGGTGTTTAGTCAGCGACCTGCCCAGTTGCATGACAACCCTCGCCTCTGCAGTGAGATACAGCTTGATTATCCAATGGACAGTGATTTTGACACCCGGGCAGGAATGTCATGTGTTGCAAACTCTCCACTGTTTGACTGCAGAGGTCACACTATGAGGAGCGTAATGAGTATTATACAGCTAAACAGTGGGGCTGTGGTCTGCAAATCTGACAGCAATTAGCCTCCTTATATATACACATGGAGCGCACACTGAACACACACACTGTCACACACACAAAGTTGAAACAAATATGTATTCTTGTCTAGGAATTAGTAGATGTCTGATCTTGTGTGGATCTTGTAAAACTACTAGCCAGGCAGACAGATGATAACCAAAACAGCAGGTGGCTCCAACGAACGACCAACAAATGAATTCAAATGTTTTGTTTATAAGTGCTTATGTATTTTGTCCCAAACTCGTGTACGGAAATTGCAAAAATTGCATTTGTGTATTCTGCATACTCTCACAAATATCACATCAATAATTTCAACTGAATTAAATTGTCTTGTTGAATGTTTTAAAATCTTAAATAAAATAATGAATATGCTGCTACCTGTTTTGGCCAGGTCTATTGAAAAAGGCACATTTTAAACTAAATGGGACTCTCATGGTTTGATAAAATATAAACTTAACTTAACTCAAAACCAAAATGTTGAAATCCATTAATAAATGCCTAATTTCTTGTTTGCAGTTTAAAAACCGCTGATTGTTGTTTTAATACCTTTTTGCAGGCAAACTGACGCAGATCGTGTTCGGACATCGTGACGTGGTGACGTGTCTGGCTCGCTCCGAGTCGTACATCGGAGGAGACTGCTACGTCCTGTCAGGCTCCAGAGACGCCACCCTGCTGCTGTGGTACTGGAACGGGAAGCACAACAGCATTGGAGAGAGCCCGGGCAGTAAGTACTCAGGCAAACCAGCTCGATATGTGAGAGCACACACACACACACACACACACACACACACACACACACATATGTGGTATTCTCTGAGTGCTCTCTCCCCCAGACAGTTGTGACTGTGTGATTTACGGCCTCCCTCTGTAAAGTAACAACTAGTTTCGTCTGACCAGGCCCGGCCTCCTGCATACAGATTGGATTTCGCAGCACTGTTGCAGCAGGAACAGCTTTCGATAATGTGTTTGAGATTGTGTGAGAATTTTCTGTGAGACCAGATATGGTGTGTGTGTGTGTGTGTGTGTGAGAATCTGTCTTTAATGTGAGTGAAAGTGAGGGCCACTTAGAGATGTTAAATGTTATGTTGGGGGTCGTCGGCCAGCACATGAAAGTTCACCACCATCTGAGGGCCACGGGGTCACACTAGTCGATAAAAGTGAAAAATGTCATGGGCCTCTCTTACGTTACCATAACATATGGCATCAGCCATGATCAAAGCATCGCACACACATTGCTCAGCCCTGAGCCTGCTCCGTGCTAATTTGGTCAGCTTAGATAGGCGTACATGTTGTTAAGTGATCCATTACAAATGGGCTGAAATTTATGACAAATTGTGATTTGGTTAATAAGCCACATTGGGTTTTTATTTTGGAGACAGCGTGTGTGTCACTTACCTCATACACGCTGATGTGGGATGTTGGAATCAAGAAAACTATTTGTTTCCCACAAGTTAATTCAGTGGGATTTTCAAAAATTAAAAAAAATGAAGCTAAATCATAATTTCATTCTCTGCTATCATCTTTTAAGCCTGTTTTTCTCTTTTGTTTTGCTTTATTTGAATCAAAATTAGCAACATGGCAAAAAAGAAAAGCTACTTTTAAATGAATGATGATCAGCTTATTATTCAGAAACAAAATGGCTTCCTTAGAGCCTCATTTTAATCATCCTCAAAGCTGCAATTCCTTATAGAAGAACAATGTATGTTCCGAGGTTAGATGAGGATTTAAATCAGCTGACTCACATCCGTATTGTCATTTTTTAAGTTTAACATTCAACTGCTAAAGTTCTAAGAATCCAATGTATATTGATTGGTTTATGGAGTTATTACATGTCAAAAAGAGGTTCTCTTCAACGTGTACGTGTGTGTGTGTGTGTGTGTGTGTGTGTGTGTGTGTGTGTGTGTGTGTGTGTGTGTGTGTGTGTGTGTGTGTGTGTGTGTGTGTGTGTGTGTGTGTGTGTGTGTGTGTGTGTGTGTGTGTGTGTGTGTGTGTGTGTGTGTGTGTGTGTGTGTGTGTGTGTGTGGCTACAGCAGCAGACAAAGCAGTCGTCGTCCAGCCCATCACCACCACAATGTGATGCTCCATTGCCCCACACCACAGGCACCCCTAGACATGAAGCTTTACCACACACACACACACACACACACACACGCACAGAATACATAAAGACAGCAGACTTGTTCTTTATACCTCTTCCAAAAACGAAACACTTTCAAGATAAAGTCTTGAATGAGAGCACATGCGTACACACACACATTCCTCCTCATGCATAATGCCGGGAACATCCTGCACACTTCATAAGCTTGACGCAAATGCCTCTGATTGGCTGATATGCACATGTACACATTGACCTATGCACACTTGTTTCCTGCTGCAAGCACATGTTGTCATCTGAACTGCAGCAGAGATATTTCACAGACACCAGCGCCACCTGCTGCTCACAGAGGGGAGAACAGTTAAATGAGACCTCTATTAAGTGATGTACTGTAAATTATACTGTATATCTATTGTTTTTAATGAATAGACAAAAGATTGAAATATTATGTTTCTGTAAAATGAGCACCAATGTTTAATTTTCTAATTGTAAATTATTGTTTTGTGATTAGAGACAGTAGTTTCCAGAAGAACACATGTGTAGCTACATGTATATGTTTATCTTCATCATTTTATCATGAAAAAAGAGGTAGGTGTAGATATCTGGCAATTAACCGACTTTGAACCGGATCCACAAGTAGCTTGCTTTTTTGTCTATACACACACACACACACACACACACACACACACACACACACACACACACACACACACACACACACACACACACACACACACACACACACACACACACACACACACACACACACACATGTACAGGTATAAGATTGTAATCAGATGTGGCGCTAATTCAAACCAAATGGCAGGTAGAGGCTTAGCGAGGTTAACTGATACACCAATATATCAGCTTTATTGATCTCCTCTGAGCAGAATCCCACATCATGCTTTAATCCAAAGGCTTGTAGGTCATGAGTTTGGCTAACATCCTCAAAGTCACTAAAAGCAGTTAACTAAATGAAATGTAGATGTTTAGGCTGCCGTGCCACGTGTGACCAGAGTTTAGGAGAGCCAGGTGTAGGGAGATGAAACAATCAACTGACTTTACTCAAATGTGATTTCACTTATAAGTACAAAGTTTCATTTTTGAATATATATTTTATCACACAAACAACATATTTGCTATTGATTGTATCCCATTATAATCTTTTATACTGTACTCTTTTTATTATTCAAGTTTTTGAAATTGCTGATGTCGTCTTTATACGTGACTGTATGACTGTTCAGATTGTCCTCTAGTTAACTTTTTTACAAGAGGGTTCAGTGAGCAGCAGTATGGTCTGTAAGAGGTCTTTCTGCTCAATCTAATTAAGATTTAACAGTAGCTCTTGCTCCGGGAGAGAACCTCTCTGTCTTATTAGAGAACCTGTGTTGAGTTTTATGTCATATAATTGAATTAGGAAACTAAATAGTTTGGCCATGTCAGCAATAAACTACACTTTTCAAAAGTACTTAAATTACGAGGTTTGCTTTATTGGAAACTATTTTACTTCAACTGCATTGCTGTGTTGATGGTTGAAACACAAATATGTTTGAAATAATTGTCACACGGCTACAAAAAACACAAGAAAAATAAAGAAAAACATATAAATGACAACAGGAAGACTAAAGTATACCATCACTAAAATGACAAGTTTGTTTCAAGCTGAACTTGAACTGAGATTGCAAAGTGGTTGGGGTCACTTAAAGTCGAGACCCCCTCCAAGGGACATGAAATCTCATGACCTCCAAACGCCAGGTCACTTATTGAATGGGCTGTGTTACACCAAAGACACTTTAATGTACATCCATGTAACATTTTAGCACAATTATCAAACGTTCACCTATAGATTCTGCCTGAAATGTGTTCTAAAATATAATGAATAGAAACTCCATGCTTTTATGCATCTTCTTGCAGACAGGAGACAGACGGATAAATAAAGAGCTGTTATGTTTTGTCTCTCACTCAGACAGCTCAAACCAAAACAAAATCACACAATCTTCATGACTTGGACTATAACTTGCTCTCGCAGAAACATCTGGATCTAGTGAAGGTAGTGAGGGGGGAAAAGGTTTAAAGATAAGGAGAGGCGGAGAGTGACAAGTGCTAGAAAGAGAGAGTGAAAGCATGTGCAGGGTAACAGGCTCAAACCTCTAATACAAGCTACAGTTCATATACATTCAAACAAAAAACACATTTCCTTTATGATGGAATAATAACAACTTATTTATTTCATACATTATAGTTTGTCTGTGTTTTCATATGGTTGGCTACAACATTTTTCCTTTGCATTTTGCTCCCTCTAGTGACCAAAACTAGTATTTTTTTTTTTAATGTCTTTGTCTTTTATATACAGTACAGTACAAACCCTATTTTGTTTGTCTATTCTAGCAGAGTTTACCACACCGAGGGCCATCTTGACGGGCCATGACTGTGAAGTGACGTGTGCGAGTGTGTGTGCAGAGCTGGGTCTCGTCATCAGCGGCTGCAAAGGTGAGCCCGTCTGTCTGTCTTTAATAATATGTCCAAATTAGGGCTGTGACTAACAATTATTTTTATCATCCATTATTCTGCAGAATATTCTCTGGATTTATCCATTAAACAAGGTTTTGTCTTCAAACGCCAAAACCAACATACCTTAATTTTAACATGATATTTAGAACAAGATAAAAGCAAGAAACTCCATATTTTAGAGCCTGAAATCACATTTTTTAATCTTTGCATGCAACATTACTTAAAGGAATCCATTATCAAAGTTGCTTTCTATAATTTTCATGTAATTTACTTATTATTTAAGTAATATTAGGAGCTCCATTCCAAAATACATGTTAGAATGTAACAACAAAAGACACTGACTAATGTAAATTGTCTGCTTTTCTAACTTGTCTTTTTGTCTTGTGTTTGTTCAGAGGGTCCTTGTCTGATCCATTCCATGAATGGGGACCTGCTGCGGACCCTGGAGGGCCCCGAGCGCTGCCTGAGGCCTCGTCTCATCCAGTCCTCCACCGAGGGACACTGCATGATCTACTACGAGAAGGGGCAGTTTTGTAACTTCAGTGTCAACGGCAAACTGCTCAGACACATGGAGGTGGAAGACAGCATCAAGGTGGGAAACATAATACTGGCGTGAGCGTGCATGTGAAAGTGCATTAGCACATGTGTGTCTGCACCACATCAGGGTGAAATGTCCTCTCACTGATTAAAGGCTTTCTTAGGGTTTCACATTTGAGGAAGGTAAGGGTCTGCACGCCTGGGGGCAAAGTGCGGCTTCACATCCCTTTTATTCCCTTTCACACGCACACAGCAGAGGAAATGGTCCTTTTGATCCGCAGCCCAGTTGTCAGGTCAGATTGCGTCGTTGGTCGAGAACATTCCAGAGGAGTGGTCAGCTCTGGACACCAACACCATTAACTACCCTGCAACACAAGACGACACATTCCCCGTTTCCCACATTTCCTCCCTCGTGGTTAGAGTGACACAAGATAGCGGCTACTGCCTTTGGTTTCATGACCCTTTGTTTCCGGTTTGGCCTGGGAAATGTAAGCTAGCTCTGACAGACAGCCGCACGCCTGTTTCCCATTAGCAGACCTCTGGAGCTCCTAACCTGCCAGCCGGCCGCTGCTGCACAAAGCCACAAATATGACTCGTACAAGTCGTGATTAACGAGCACACACAGACAAATGCTGATGGATTGTGTTAACATCACGGGGAAAGTTGCAAGTGTTCAGTTTGCAGGTTGCAGAATATTTTATAGTGTCTTTAAGAGAAACTAATGATACTTTTAGATGCTTGTAGAGTTTCCCAGCGTTCCCTCTGAAGCGGTGAAGCTGGGACTTGGGAACAATGTGGACCGCTGCCCACTCTCTGCTGTTGTAAATTCCAGCCATGTCAGATGGCATTAGGAAAATGCTAACATCTCGAAGTGAGGCTGTGAGAGTCTCAACCCCCCTGGTCTGACGCTGTAGTATTTAGTGCGCTCATGTACATACCAGAATCAATCTCCTCCGCCCTCAGAGCCTCAGCTCGGTGTGACTCCAGGATAAATAAGTGTTTGTCCTGGCCTGCAGTATCCACTTAGAACAGGAGAGGAATACTGAAGAAGAGAGAGGGTGTTTGCACTGTAAATGTATGCATCTGGAGTCAGAGGTTAGATGACAGGCTAACAGTCGGCATCCTAGTCTAATAGCAGCATCGAGTGACAGAAGCCATACTGAATGGATTACAGTCTTTTAAGTACTAGTATAACTCAGGCAGTGTAACCATTCCAGCAGTTTTTCCCCCTGCTTTGGTCTGTGTAACAGGGGGATTAACAGCACCATAAATTACACTTTGTTACCTTCCCCAGCCCAAAATCCACCCACTGTTCCCCGAAAGATGGAGGAAATATGGGCATTAAAAGTGCATGTGTAGCTGCTGCAGTCATTTTTTTAGTCACCCGAGCCCGAGTAGCCATCTTGGCTCCCACAGAGCCATCGGCCATCTTGTTTGACCGCCCAGCGGCTGATTTATAGAGCCTGTCTGCAGCCTCCTACCTGGCTTGGCTGACATGTCTGCCAGCGCTCGGCCTCCTGCTGGGCTGCATAAGGTCATGGACTCCATTAGTGCATACACAGGTATATTAATATAACACAGTCCCTGGTAAACAGCTCTTATCTTCCCTCTTTCTTTTTACTGTGTAGTATGTCATCTGCTCAAGGAATGACTCGATGTGGCTGCTTATTAAAAACATATATCGGATTTAAAGCTGTGCTAGTGAATAGCTTCATATTAACAGAGGATGAAATGACTTCAGGTAACGTTAGAGGGGCTGCTGGGAGAGCGGCTCGGCTCTACAGAGCGGTTTAATGTCTTTCTGCGTATTGTTTTGATTTAGTTGCGCGCATCTCTACCGTTTTGATCCACTCTCAGCTTTTACCCATAGCTTTTACAGCCACATCAGGCAATTGTTTTACTTTCCCTTGAATCAAACCGCAGACATAGTGAGCAGCTAGTGAAGAAGGTGAAGCATTTAGCAGCTAAAGAAGCAGTTATTTTCCCCAGGAGATGGTTAAGAGCAAAAAAGAGCCAACCTTTACATAAATATTGAATTTACACTCATCAGGTGGACGTTAGAACTTCTCCACATGAAAACGAATGTTGTGTGTGCTGGTTGTTAGCCGAGTGCTTTGTTAGCATGTTTACCATGTTAAGTTGATAATATGTCAGTTTTGTGATTTTATCTTCGTCTGCTGCTCCCAAGTGGCCTAAAATGGAATTACTGCTTTACGTAAAATACATTTTTTATATATAATGGATCATATTATTCTTATGTACTAATTTGCTCTGTACTCCAATTGAACTGCATTGATCATACCAGGCTGAGTTGAGCATCATCTTTATTGTTGTCAGATTAACTCTGAATGTTTATACACAAGACAATTACAGTACACACAAAACAGACCCACACCACACCAATCAGAGCAGCGCTGCACTCGGTCATGCTCCATTCCCAGCCGTCCTGGAGGATGATCTAACACAGCGATTAGGAGGGATTGATTCTCCAGGCCTCCCGCCAGAGAGCAGCATGCGACGCATCGGTGTGTGTCTTGTTTTGTGTTTCCCTGTGTGTGTGAGTGCAAGTGTTGTGCCCATCTTAAGTGCGTGCGTAATGAGAATGAGAAACAGAGCTCATTTAATTCCCAGTGTGGTAGGAAATTCCACAAAGACTTTCTATACAAAACATTTGGTTAATTTAGGCTGCACTGTTTCTACGTCCGTCCACTCTGTATCGCTCTTGAAGGGTTATTTATCTTTTCTTTACCAAGTCAAGTTCCTGAAAATGACTTCAGTTTAAGTTTCATTTTCCCATTTAATGTGAGCCTGATTCAACACACATGCTGCTGATGATTGAAGTGTCTCCTGCTGAATCACTGCAAAGCGGCCACAACCAAACTCTGTGTCGAAAAACCCACAAAGGAGAAAAACTCTGAATTAGTGTCATGTGCTGCTTTCAGAACTCACATTCTGCCTCGTCATTTCATCGGCTCGGTTTCTCTCTGATTGATGCTCCTGACTCCTTCAGTTTGAGCCTCCACTATGCACTGCGCTCTTAATAGACTCCAACACGAGGCATGATTTGTGTACGCCAGATCCCCCGGGGAACCATTCAGCAGTTACAGTTTGCAGGAAAAGCAGATGAGACGAGTAAATCTCCGAGCCTCACTGTGGGGAGCCATGTTTGTTGCCAGTCAGGGTCTGCGTACAGAAAGCCCCTCAGGAGGGCGGCGCTGACCTGGGATCTTTTGTGGGATCACATGACCTCGCTGTATGAGCTTTTACTCTGACATAAAGAGACAAACTGGTCCCAGACCTCCAGTCCTATTCTGAGACTATTTATGCATGTGGTTCTACAGTGAAGAGCTTTGCTGTGAGGGCTTTATTTTAAGCGTTTAAGGACAGGTAACCGATGATCAAAGGCAGGATATGAACTCTTCTCACACTGTACTGCATGCATTGGAACACTACATTCAATCTGACATAAGCTGATAATGTTTGGAAAGTCCCAACACCTGAACATGCAACTCTCAGCTCATTAAAAAGTGAATAATAAGCGTATCCTCTGTCCCTCTTTGCCAGGCCATGTACCTGAGTCGGGACGGCCAGTACCTGCTGACGGGCGGAGACGGAGGCGTGGTCTCCGTCTGGCAGGTCCACAACTTCAAACAGCTGTTCACGTACCCAGGCTGCGACGCAGGAATCCGCTCTATGACCATGTCCCATGACCAAAGGTAACACACACACACACACACACACACACACACACACACACACACACACACACACACACACACACACACACACACACACATACACATACACATACACATACACACACACACACACAGAATATAAAGCCTGGCCAACAGGAGATTTTTAAGGCCAATACAAACTCAATATTTAAGACTACTGTACAAAACACTTTAGATTTAGATCCCTTAAATGTGTTATTTTTTAAAGATTGTTATAGTAAGTAAAATGTGCTGTAGATGCAGTACTGGAAAAAGTTGTAAAATTAGCCATCTAAAAATATATTTGTCATTCCTCCCTTGTGAACAAACTTTTTTCTTGTCACAGTTTTTTTTTCAGAATAACCCTTACTCTAATTTCTAAATACGTATCATCCGATTTATACTCTGGTACTGAAATGTTTACTCTTAGATAATATTTGCCTGGCTCTAATAAAAGGAAACCTTCCTACAGCACTTTTTTGAAAAAGCAACGTATCTCTTCTAAGCTAAAAAGTAACCACTCCAAGTCAAATCGAAATCGTAATAAAACTCCAGCATTCAAAATATTGATAAAATCAGCGTCAAAAGCATTTAAGTGAAATGTACTTGTATTTATTGAGGACTGAAATTATAAATGTATTAGTCCATTAACAGAAGATTAATCATCGAAAATGTTAGTTACGGATTCATATTGTACAACGTTTCACCACCACTCCCTACACACCAAAAACGTTTACATGTGGCTCATGATTTTGCATTAAATTAACTTCAAATGAAAAAAACTCACTTTGAAACTAAACCTCCTGATGTCCCCTCCTCTCCTCCTGATGTCCCCTCCTCTCCTCCTGATGTCCCCTCCTCTCCTCCTGATGTCCCCTCCTCTCCTCCTGATGTCCCCTCCTCTCCTCCTGATGTCCACTCCTCTCCTCCTGATGTCCCCTCCTCTCCTCCTGATGTCCCCTCCTCCTGATGTCCACTCCTCTCCTCTCCTCTCCTCCTGATGTCCCCTCCTCTCCTCCTGATGTCCCCTCCTCTCCTCCTGATGTCGCCTCCCCTCCTCTCCTCCTGATGTCCCCTCCTGACTCCTCTCAGGTGCATCATCACCGGCATGTCCTCTGGAAGCATCGTGCTCTTCTACAACGACTTCAACAGATGGCACCACGAGTACCAGACCCGCTACTGAGTGTGAACTTCTCAAAGGCGCTACTCTGTCTGTACCCTGAATGTATCTTAATGAAAGAAGAAAACAAAAAACTGTCCTGTTAAAGTAAACAAATCAAAACTATTTTTAAAAAGGGCATTGCTATATTTTGTAGATCAGATAGAAACTTTCATATAATTCACAGGGTGGGGGTTATGTTACTGTACGGTTAAAACAAATCTATTTTTAGCTGTAAGAGTCTATTTTCATCTCCTCTGGAAAACTAAGGCGGGATTTGTTGGGAGCTAGTGAGAACCTTTTCTCTTTACTTAAAAAATCCAAATATTTGTGTACTTTAAGGTGAGTGATTATCTTTCTTTCTGTAGGTGTGTATGTGGGGAATAATTATCAAGCTGTCATTCACGTTTTAACTTCTTTTTTGGCAAAACTGCCGTTAGATATGAAGTGTTTGAATAAATAATAAATGTATTGGATAGAAGGATAAACAAAGAGGGAATATACATACATATATAAATATCTATATATTCAGTTTAAATGTATGTCCTCCATATTTAAAATTTCCATTTCCTCTGTACCTCTGCTTGCTAGGAGATTGTGCATGGCTCACTAGTACACACTTAAAACATATCAGTGCAGATGTATCACTTAATTTAATACTTTCTAAACTTCCCATCCAGTGATGATAAAGAAGGATGTCAGGAAAACATGTCCAGGATTGTGCTTTGATTTTTCTTTCTACAATGACTGAAGAAGCAAAAAGTGAATCTTTTTTTCTAAAATGGGAATCTTGATCATTGTTTGTGAAAGCCTGAGTAACGAGAGATCACGAAAATCATCTGTAAAGTCTTCTTTGAGTCATGTCTCCAAAGCAGCTGACAGCAGAGTGAGACGTTCAATGACAGGAAGGACTTTTCTCTATTTCATCACAGGATGAGTGATTATCTAAAGATGTGATTCAGCACTAAAATAGCATATTCCTTTGGTCTTCGCTAAATGAAACGTCCACTTGTATCCTTTAGATTTCAGGGGAACATTCCTTTACAATTTGCGCTTTGATGTGGTTTGAAACTACAGTTAAATGAGAACTACTGTTGTCTATCAACCAACATTATTTTTGCAATAATTTGAGTGTTTTGTGTGCCGAGTTCTGACAATAAAATGGAATTTTATAACTTGAATCGTCCTTTAAATGTGTATTTCTCGCATTGAAGACCGCATAGCACCCTCTAGTGGCCACCTTCTGGACACACACATATTCACAAACAAACATTCATTAATTTGAAGTCTTTATTGCATCGTTTGCCTTTCTTCTGTTTCAAAACAGTGGGACATTAAAAGCAGCCACTCTTTGCCTAATAAAAACCATTTCTGCAGTTTGACACAGATGATAAACCTGTTTTTAAAACTGCCTTTCCATACAAATGTTTCCCTTTACAAACGGCATATGAAAATCCTTTACCTACATATAGGCTACATAAGAGGAAGCTAAATGTACCAACTTGACTGTGTGTGAGAGGGTTTCTGTCTTAAAGGGAGGCAGGAAGTGCATGCATGCAGCTGGGAGTCCTGAAGAGATAAAGGAGTTAGCCATACTAGCGTAGTTTAACACGGGTACACGACAAAAACACTTAACTTAAACCCCATCGTTCAGCTGGGCTGGTTTTGATGATGGCATTATTAAGTAATGAGCTGTTAGCAAGTGGTCAGGCACAACCGTCACCTTGACAACACATTAATTCACATAAATCCAACAAATCTAAACCACTGTGCGAGTATTTGGAAAAACAGGGTCGACTTATTTTAATACACAGTGCAGCGCTGTCTGTTATATCAACTGCTCTATAAACATCTTCTGTGTTTAAGTTGCAGCAGAAAGCATTCTAGTTTTGAAAATCCCAGTTCATTCAAACAAAAATATTATATATGGTTTTATGTCTAATGGATCTATTTTTATGTACAGCTGTTTTTTTTATGAAATTGATGGCCATTAAATGCTCAGACACACGTCGGCAATACACACCTTCAAGTTTCAGGTGGACAAATAAAGTTCTTCTAGTGTTCTCATGAAATAATACAAACAGTATGTTGATGCATGAGTTAGAGTTGATGCACAAATTAATTTTCCAAATTGACTTCTGTAAAACAAAGCAAGACATACTGGCATTTATTTTCATTTTCATGAGTTTGTTTTTTTAGATATGTTTCTCTGAAAAGTAAGTACAGCTCTGACTAATGCATTGGAGGTGGAGAGTTTTATTCATATCAGTATTATTAAAAATTACATTTCCATGTTGTGTCCTGGTATCTCACTACAAATAATTGTAATCTGTATTATTAAAAATAATCTTTCAGGCCCCACAAACACAAATCCTCCATTGTATTGTGATGGTGACATAAACCTCATATTGTATGATATCTGGGGGGTCACAAGATAAACCTGAGGGGTTTGGAGATGATTAGCAGGATTGGAAAGCAGCAAAATCGTAATGTTTTATCCTGATATTTACCTTTTGCAAGAAGAATCATTTTTAGGCCTTGAAATGTATTCGAATAAAAATAATTTGAATCTTTGGTAGGAATGGCCCAAAAGCAGATAACTCATAACAAGGGGTCAAGTAGACACGTACATGTTTAGGTGTTTCAAGCCAAAAAGGTCAGGAACCTCTGCGGACAGACACATTTACTAACTCCTTTGTATTCATTTGGTAGGTATTAACTACATGTTGTCAACCTACTGTAATGTACTTTAACACTTTATAGGAACATCTGTGTTTACCATATAGGGGGGGGGGGGGGCTGTCACAAACTGATAGTGGTTACATCCGGGTTGCACGACAGGATGCTAGGCTAGTACGTTCAGACATTTGATATGCTGATATAATTTTAATGTAGTATTACTCTAGCGTCTCTTTCTAAAGCAGTCGTGTGGTGGTCTATTCACAAAAGAGCCACAGGCAAGTCAAAATGGGATAACGATAAATAAACAAAATAATTCACATTAAGTTACACAGTAATGCATGACTTCTAAACACAAACCACTCAGTTTCATTCCCTTTCTCCTCATCCTCCATTAATAAATACAAACATATATACAATCACAAACACACTGAGAGAACATGTGTCTCTGAACATGAGCTGGATAAGAGGGACAGAGAAAGGGACAGCAGTCACTGGCTCAGTTTACAGCTACTGGAAATGCTCCATGTTTACTGACACGTGAAAATAAAAGGAGTGAGGGGTCACATTGGAGTTACCGTTTAAATCTCTATCAGCTCCTCAGCAGGTACAGGGCTCAGAGAGGGAGGGTCAGCGGGGGAGACTGATCTGGGAGGTGTGGAGGGAGGAGAGGGAAACAGGGTGGGATGCATGGGAGATGGGGAGGAAGGCTCCTGTCTGGTTGGGGAGGAGAAAGGGAATAGAATGACCTGTTGGATGGGGGAGGCTGGGGGAGGGGGAGGATTGTTTAGTGGGAGAGGAAGAGAGGGATGTTGCCTCTTTGGTAGGAGAGGAGGGAGAGACTCGTTTGGTGGGAGATGAGGGAGAAAGAGAGGCAGGCTTAGAGGGAGAAGAGGGAGGAATAAGGGCTTGTCTTGTGGGAGAAGAGGGAGAAAGAGAGGAGGGTTTAGTGGGAGAGGAAGAGAAGGATGTTGCCTCTTTGGTGGGAGAGGAGGGAGAGACTCGTTTGGTGGGAGATGAGGGAGAAAGAGAGGAGGGTTTAGTGGGAGAGGAAGAGAGGGATGTTGCCTCTTTGGTGGGAGAGACTCGTTTGGTGGGAGATGAGGGAGAAAGAGAGGCAGGCTTAGTGGGAGAAGAGGGAGAAGTAGAAGCCTGTTTGTAGGGAGAAGAGAGGGGAAGGGAGGATGGATTGTTGGGTGATGATGGGGAAGGGCAGGAGACGGGTGAGGAGGGAGAGTTGCAGGTGAACAGATCAGGTGGGCCAGAGGGGGAGGGAGTTTGGAGAGAAAAGCCGGGGGCAGCAGATGTGCTTATCTTGGGATCAGAGGAAACAGGGGGAGTTTCTTCAGAGGGAAAACAGGAGATATGATTGGACCTCACAGGAGCAGAGGGAGGGACATCATCTCCGTCAGTCAGGGACAGACAGCAGGGGGGGTCAGAGGGGGAGGCAGCATCAGGCACAGCAGCGGTGTTCGGTGCTTTGACTCGAGCAGGCGTGGAGGGTTTAGTTTTTTTGGCAGGTGATGCCTGTTTGGTGGGAGACGCTGGTTTGACTGCAGGAGGGACGGTGTCTCCAGCCGCTGAGGGAGGACACGAGAGAGTCTGAGGCCGAGGGAGGCGGGAGGCGAGCTGCAGGGTCTCCTTATCCAGAGCCGTGCTCTGAGGAGACAGACAGAGGATTATCAGATGATACTCAAGCTCTAACAACACCAATCATATCACACAGAGATATTGTGGATCAAGCTGTACTGTATTCAGGAATGTAGTCATTTAGCCTGCCTTTAAATCATCCTTTTGTGATTTCCTGATGTGGGAATAATACTCTAGCTGTACCTTTTCATATTTGATATGTATATATTTTCTTTTTCTTCCATATATTTGCATCACTATATCTCAATTTGATTGCACAAGTCTTTTCAGGTCTTACAGAATAAAGCACATTCCCTGGAACTTAAGATTTGTTTTGCCAAAACTAAACTGTAGCTATTTTCCAAATGACATTTAAGCTTTTGAAAAAATGGGATTCAATCAACTAAATGTTTTTCTTTTAATTCCTACAATCATTAACTGCTGTCTTGTATTTGCTTATGATTTATATGAATGAACAACACACGCACACACACAATGAGACAAGCTAATGGAAATGGACAAAAATGACTGAAAGATGATTCAACAAAAAGTCATTATGATATTCGCACAGTAGAATGACCCCATAGGGAGGAACATCAGATCATCACCGCTAATGTGCAGAGGAAGGGCAAAGGAGAAACTCAACTTTCACTTTTGAATTCAACATATAAATACTTGGTGTGTTTGTATCGGATATAGCCAATTATGTCTTCACAAATGGGAGAGAAAAGTAGAAAACTTATTTTTCTCATTTGCCCTTGTGCTGCTGAGTCTGAGCAGAGCAGGCGTAGCGTTCAGTGTTAGTACATACCAGCGCCTTGGAGCTAATTCTGAGGGGCGTAATGCAGGGAGAGGGGAGAAGCACAAAGGGACAGAGACTAGTCTTAAGTCAACACAACAAGCAAGACGGCCCGGTGCACAGCTGTTGTTCCAGCTCAGTGCTGATGTGGTAACTCAGATCATTGAATCATAATTTAGTTTGGCCGGTTGCTTTTGAGAAGACTGAGCTGGAACAAACTGTGAGACTTTCTGTAAATCAGGCTGAGACACGTGTCTGTTAGTGCAAAGCTATACCACTCATTAGAAAGCAGCGGTAAGGGTCCATTTACATGTGTTTGAATAGTTTCGTTTGAAAAGATAAGACTGGCATTATTCTATTTTGATGGTCAACAGAAGACGAAAACCAATGAGGATTTGTTTTTGCATTTGTGCCCAAAATAGCTTATTCCACTCTAAAAAAGAGCTCCAAAAATGTATAAAAAAAATGCACGAGTCACTGTTGTACTGTATGTTCGGTAAACATGAGCACTAAAGGTTATTTTGTCTCAATCCTATATTCACCAACTGGCTGCTGTGAATACTCGCTATAGCACCAAATATATAATAATCCTCTTTTGATAAGAGTCCCTAACAAATGCCTTAATCATTTGCTTCTGTGTTGGTCAAATATGCTTAAAACTTGCTCAGCTATTTGAAGATCATTGAATCTTTTAAAAAGGTGAAACTTTATATTTATGGCCCACTTTCAGAGTTTCATGTCTTCCATGGAAACCTATTGACTTGTAGCTGAGATGAACAGAAGGTAGATGGACTAACATTTGGTCGTTTAATAGGATTTGTTGACAAGTAAAATATAGAATAATGTCAGCCTTGTCCTTTAAAAAGCAGGGGAATCTTGTTTCTGAGGCAATAACGCCACATTGGTTTGCATCCATCTCTGCCAAATACACCACTGAACACAGTTCTTAATTTCCTCCACAAGGTGGCGGCAGAGCACCACTAATATGAAACTGCTGAGAAACCAGTTACAGCTTTGTGGACCCACAGGAAGTAGGTTTATGAAAATCTATTTGAAATTAGATGACAAGCAAACGATGAATGGCAGAGAGTGAGGCAAATAAAAAGCAGCTCTTGTGTTAGCTCTGTAAACATGCTCATTGTCCTTCTCAAAGACAATGTGATTAAATAAACACATCCTTCAAAACACCGATGATTATTTTCGCCACAAAAGTTTTGTGATCGATAAAAATGGAATGAAATGAAAACGAAGGAGCAGAAAAAGTGTGAAAACAGTCAGGAGGGGTAAATCCAGGACAGAGCGAGAGTTAGTCAGATCCACATCAGCTGGTTATTGAGAGCGGTTACTGCAGCTGGTGGGGGGGGGGGGGGGGGGGGGAGGCTGAGAAAGAGACAGGAAGGAAGGGAAAGGGAGGAAAGGGGGAGATTTATAGATGAAGGGAAGTGGGTGAAGGGAAGGGCGATGCTGGGAAGGAAGGAGGGAGCAGGAGGAGGAGGAGGGGGGGGGGGTAGGAAGTGTGTACCCGGCTCTCAGCTCCAGGCGTCCCCTTTGGTCCTGGGTCGGGTGTGAGGGAGGGGTGAGGAGGAGGAGGGAGGAGGAAGAGGATGGAGAGGAGGAGGAGGGGCCGAGGCCAGGGCCCGCGTTTACATCTCAAACTGTCAAATGAGATTTACAACAAGATGTGAGGGTCAGATCAGATCTCTAATGAGACGTTACCCTTCCCCCGTTTCCTGCTTTCAGACAGACAGACAGAAGAGAGGGCTGATGGGATGAGGAGAGGAGGAAACCGTACAACAGGAAGTGATGAACGTGAGGCTGGAGACGAACAGGAAGGAAGGATGTGACTCTTCTGCCCTGTCCAAGTGTTCACATCTCTCCCTCTCTAAAGCCCTGTCTGACATGTTTACAGCAGCATGAGTTGTCTTTGATGTTGGACGATGATTGAGGTCAGATATTCTTGGCCCGCTGATTAAGTAGGCGCAGGATTCATATAAAGTGAGCTCAATCTTCTGTATGTGGGTCAGACATCCACCACAGTGCAGTAAATGCTTGGAGGTGGGCCAGACATGTTTCAAATACCTCGTCAAGTACTGTGTTAACACTTTAATACTGCAGATTAAAGAGGTCACTACAAGTAAACAATCTCAAGAATGTCACTCTATGAAAAGGAATGAATCTAAAAAGTGTGTCAAAAGATAACATTAATCCCATCACTTTGAATGTGTCCAGGTGCTTACCATGATGACGGTCACCCCGGCCGAGGTGTGGTTTTGATTGGGCGCAGAGTTAAAGTGCGTCTTCAGTTTACCTGTCACCTCCATCTTCATGTTGTTCTCCATCACTGCCTCGTCCTTCATACACACAAACAAGCATCGAGGTTAAGCGGTACCATGGTGTTCCGCTCATCTTAAATGACAGATGCTGAAGTTGTGTGAGCAGGCAAACACAGAGACGAACAGGTGAAATACCGTGAGCCAAGGGTGGGAGAGGATGTCCTGCGCTGAGTACCGAGCCTCAGCGTTCACCTGCAGCATCTTCCCAATCAGCTCCTGCAGCCAAACACAACACAGGTTAGCACATCAACTCAAACATACTTTCATAATGCCATGAAGAAAAGTATAGTATGTCATGAACGTCATTTAGAAAAGTCTGAGAGTATTACATAACATATTCAGAAAAAGTCTAAGCATAGTATTTAGAAAAAAGTCATAGTGTACCTAATATGTGAAGTCAAAGGTGCATCAATTTGTACAGTCTTGTAGTATAGTAAGACATAAAACATAAAGAAATGTCTTATAATGGTACAGTATGTCATTGAAAAAGTTGTAGTAACATTAAAAGTAATTAAAAAGTAATATGCCATAATATATTCATATACATTAAGGCAATAGTATGCTATGAAACTCGTAAAAAGAACAGTACGTCATGAAGAAAAATCATGATTCTATTGTCATATTACAGTATAGCATTTAATCAAAATCAACATGAATGAAAATGCTCATATGTTACAAAAAAGTAAAAGAAAACTGTTTAGTGTTTTGTAAAACATTTCCCCTGCTCTATCACTGTGTGTGGTGTGTGTGTGTGTGTGTGTGTGTGTGTGTGTGTGTGTGTGTGTGTGTGTGTGTGTGTGTGTGTGTGTGTGTGTGTGTGTGTGTGTGTGTGTGTGTGTGTGTGTGTGTGTGTGCACCTGTCTGCAGTGACAAGTCTCTGTAACAGCACGTCTATCAGCCGTGGGTTTAATTAGCAGTTAGCTTTTGCCTGCTGAGAGAGCTGCCACTTTAATACATGACATTCATTTAGAGGGTTGCTGTGTCCTTCTGCAGACAGCAGCCATTAGTCAGTAACCCCTTCCCAATCAACACAGCAGTATATTCCACAGAGAAGTGTCATAATTCATTGTGTTTTGGTTAGGCATCAGAATGTATCATAGCCATTTTTTAACACTGTGTGTGTGGTTTTGTGTACAGTATATGTGTGTCTGTGTGTGTAGGGCTAACCTTGGCTGAGTCAGTGATGTTGTCCCAGTAAGGGCCGGGGAACTCCAGTCGCCCCAGAAGGATCTGGTCAAACAGATCCTCCTGCATGTTGTTCTCACTGCATGAGAAAGACACACAAACAGACATTAATAACATTACTCAGAACACATGGCATTGTGAAAAAACAGCACTGTACTGCACAAATAATAGATATCCACACCTACGCTTTAATATGTTAAAATGCATAATTAAAATAAGCTATTATATCTCATCATGATATGAGTTTAAGTACCTTCTAAATGGAGGGAAGCCACACAGGAGGATGTAGGTGATGACACCTGCAGCCCAGATATCCACCTTCAGACCATAACTGCGTGAAGAGAGGAGCGACAGGAAAGGCAAACCATATTTATTATCTCAGTGGAGGAGATGCAGTAGATCGCTGATTGTACATGAAACAACTTTTAAAAAAGTTCAACCTTTTGGCGGTTGGCAAACACAAAGTTGTCAATGTACTGCAATGTTATGGAAGTACTTATACCGTAACAACCTGATATGCACAATATACCAATCTCCCTCTAATCCTCTGTGGATAATTACAACACACCTGAACCCACCTGATTTGGTGTAAATGGAAACATCTGTTCCATGCACAATATTAGACCAGTACAAACATACATGTCACTCTTTAACAAGCACCATCCCTGGTGAAATCTACATATCTACAGTACGTACTGAAAGCAGGGGCGGTTCTAGGGGGGGGGGGGCAGTGCCCCCCTAACACTGACCTCTGACCCCCCTGTGGCCCCCCTAACAATGAAATGTTTATTTTTGGTTTTTTTAAATGTTAAATGTGTTAGCTTCAGCTTAAGTTATAGTGCACTAACAGTAATAACTATAAGATATATCTGAAATAAATAAGTGTACTGAAACAAATACCAATAACTGTATTGCATTGTTTTCTTATACGCAATTACTTCATACTGTCTAGTTATCTTTTTCGTCCTGCATTTATTGTGCCCCCCTCAGAAAATAACTGGCCCCCCAGTGGCCCCCCCAGTCAAATTGGTCTAGAACCGCCACTGACTGAAAGCCCCTCACAGCCTTCTCCTCCCAAAAATGTATCTCACCCTGACTCCGAGATGATTTCTGGAGCCACATATGTAGGCGTTCCACACACAGTGTATAACGGTCCTTCCACCACCGTGGCCAGGCCAAAGTCCCCCAGTTTCAGTGACTTGGTGCCATCTGGATACTCAAACACCTACAAAGAATGACATGCTCAGTTAAAGTGCACAAAACAGCTGGATGTGTATGTAAGAAACTAACATGAGTGTGAAAGTATACCAGCAGGTTCTCTGGTTTGATGTCTCTGTGGACGATGTTGGAGCTGTGCAGGTACTTCAGAGCTGCAGCCAGGTTGTACACCATCACCGTGGCGTCTCTCTCTGTGTACTTGGCCGAGGACGTGATGGCATCAAATAAATCTCCGCCCTGTGCCAACATTACCAGAGATTAAAGATGATACCCAGCTGAGAAATGATGATTGCATTGCCATTGCATCCTCTACTGCACCTTCACTAGCTCCATCACCAGGTAGAGTTCAGAAGGAGTGTCCACTTCCTCGATCAACATGATGATGTTGGGATGCTTCACCCTCCGCAGCACTGCCACCTCATTCTCTATGAGGTGCTCCTGGAAACACACCAAGACAAACATTTCCACTTACTTTATGCTCCAGTGAACAGGATTTACCCAGTGTCTGCTAATGAAAAGAGGCTGCATTGTTGACTGACTTGGTATCCATGTCAAGGGTGTGATTCAGTGTGTGTGATTCAGTGTGTGTGATTCAGTGTGTGTGATTCAGTGTGTGTGATTCAGTGTGTGTGATTCAGTGTGTGTGATTGTGGGTGAAAGTGTGAAGATCATTTGAGTTAGGTGATGAATAAAACCTAATTGAACTGTGTGTACTAAGAGGATCAGAGACACACAGGCCACACTGCGGTGTGTTAATAATGCAAAGTGAAACCCACATGAACCTTACAAGTGCATCTACGGGTCTGAAAGAAATACACACTAAGACGAGAAATGTGAGAAAGACCTTTCCAGTGCACTTGGCCTTGTCGATGATCTTCAATGCAAACTCTTTTCCGGTGGACCTGAACAGAAACAGTGCAATTAGTGGCAACAATAAAAACAACACTAAAGCTGCAACAATATCTATAATTCAAAGCAAGTGCTCACAGGAGAGCTTCAGTTAGTTAGCAGGAGCAGCGCTGCAGTTATTGGAAAGGTATGATAGCTGCACGAGCCAAGTTTATACAATGAGCAGAGAAACGGTGCAGATACAGGCAGGCCAACAACATTTACTGACAGAGTAACTGAACACCAGCAGGAGGAACAGGGTTTCACTTCTCAGGTCAAAGGTTTCAGGTTTGTCTCTGCTACTATCAGAGATACTGGGTGAGGTCAGTTAGCTCTGTTACACCACTAACCAAACAGTGAGCTCATGGTGGACTGTAACACTCGGAGTATATTTCTACACCACTGCAGCAAGATGAGAAGTTCATCCACTGGAGGTTTAAAGTTACACTTTAATCAATCCAAGGATGTTAACAAATAACATTTGTATCTGCTTTTTGATACGGAGCCTCCACACAAATGTAACATTCAATAGTTTGATTTAAAATAGTTTCAGAAGTTGTTACTGTTATCTCAACAAACACACAAACAGTCAACCAGACAATACACAGAACAAACATCGACCGCCTTTTCTTCGACTCTGAGGTACCCTTTAGAGCAGGGGGGTCAAACTCAAATACACAGTGGGCCAAAATAAAAAAAATGGGTACTAGTCGAGGGTCGGACTGGTTCAATGTTTGTTGCAAAACTTATTGAAATGAACTTATTGCACATATTAAACCTGGAACTAACTAAGCTTAAATTATTGCCTATAAAAACAACATTAAATAATCAGTTGCATTCATTTCTTATGGCTCTATCTGCAGAGTCATTTCTTATGATTACATTTCTCCACAGGCCAACAACAGCTTCAAAAAAACAATTTCCCTCAAAGAAGAAACCAAACATGCCCTGTTGTCGTGAGAGAAAAAGTGCAGAAGGAAGTATCCATTGAAATACAGTTTGCTGCTCTGTGATGCTAGTTGAAGCAGATACTTGGCATCTCATCTTGGGTGCAAGTTCATCAATGTTTGGGCTCAGGCTCTGAGATGAGGAAACCCTCAGGATTGTGTGAAGGTGTGCGTGCAATATACCGGCGGGCCAGATCTAATAGTAATGATAGCAACTCCAACAACTGGCCTAGCAATGGCTTAGCAACCCCATTGTTTTGTTATGGAAATGTATCTATATGTATGTATACACATTCTCGCGAGATCTATCAGGGGTCGTTGTAAGTTAAAGCACAAACTGTTACTTGGCTAATGTTGTTATAATTCTCAGTATGTGAACACAGATCGAAAATGGAAAGATTTCTCACAAGTCAGCGTAAACGACCGCGATCTCCAACGGAGCCGGTCCAGCCGGACAACCCTGCTATCCACAAGGATCCCGAATCACGGGCCGAAATTAAGTCCACCAAGGGCCTTATTTGGCCCCCGGGCCTTGAGTTTGACACATGTGCTTTAGAGTAATTGACAACTAGTGTTGCCATGGAATACAATTTTTAAAAAAAGAAGCAAATCTGTGTTTTTTTTTGTATCTCCTGCTTTCTAAAACACACAGGATTAGGCATGTATCTATGGACAAGCTTATCATTTACACAATACTCCAATAAACCATCACTGATAACACTTTTTAGTAGTGCACCAACAGAGAAGAGGACATGTGGATTGACTTAATAAGTATAAGAAATAGAGGTTAAAGAATCTGAGCGTATATGGATGTTCATTCACCTTGAAACAGTTTAGCTCTCAAACACAGCATAGAGATGTATTCACGACCATGTGACTGAACACCCAGAGAGCTAGTATGGTAAACCTACAGAATATTTTGCTTTGTAAATGTTTTTCTGAATAAGGATATCAACTCAAAATGTTCCTTAGGTCTCAATGATACACACAATGTATTTTTGTAAACTGCAAACTGGATTAAAAGGAACCCTTCAGGGAGCCTCTCAGGCTCATCAGATTATTATTATCACACACTTCAGAGGCCTTCTCCTCATCCTCTCCCCTGTCTGCTGGGTGTGACTCAGAGATGTAAATGCTAATCACCGCTGGGTTCAATCTGTGGGATGTTTCCGATTCCACAATGCCTGTCATTAGGATGTTAAAACTCTGATGGAGCAATACCCACACATCTCGTCTCATTAAGCTGCACGACACGGGGCCCTGCGGTGCGATCATGCAAACTGAGTGTGAGTAAATGTGTTGCACCTACCTCTCCACACACTCTTTGACCACAGCAAAGTTCCCATCTCCGATGACCTTCCCAATCTTGTATTTCTCAGATATGGCAGAGGCAGGCGGGTAGCCGTTCCCATTAACTGCTGAGGACAGGCAGGGATTACAACAGGCAAGAGGCTTTCTTATTTAATCAAACTAACAGAGCTCTGCAGGAACTCAACCAGCTGCATTAGGTGACTACACACTGCAGCAAAACAACACACAGGCATCAACATGCACACAGAAACCTCAAAAAGTCCTCCATTGGCATTTAGGGAAGAGAGCAGCAATATTATGTATTCACCACACACACACACACACACACACACACACACACACACACACACACACACACACACACACACACACCACACACACACCACACACACACACACACACACACACACACCACACACACACACACACACACACACACACACACACACACACACACACACACACACACACACACACACACAACCCTAAACTATGTTAGATAAGTATCTGCTAACACAGCCCTGTTATCCTCCACACAAGACCTGGATTTCGTCTCTTTGTTGGGAAAGCTAATTGTAAAATATGAGGATCATTTTGTTTTGACAGTTAATGTCATTTCTACAAGCTAGAGGGAGAAGAGGTCCATGCAAAAGTGTCTCAGTTGGCAGATCAGGTGAGTGACTCAAAGAGAAGAGGAGAGGACGGGGGAGGTGAGGAAGAAAAGAGAGGAGGAGAGGAGGGAAGAGAAAAGGAGGAGGAGAGGAGAGAAGAGGACGGGGGAGGAGAGGTTTTTTTTTTAAAGAAGAGAAGAGGACGATAGAGGAGAGGAGATGAGAGAAGAGGAGAGAAGAGAGGAGAGAATAGAAGAGAAGGAGGAGAGGAGAAAAGGAGGAGAGGAGGAGATGAGAGGAGATGAGAGATGAAGAAGAGAGATCGAGGATCGGAGGAAGAGGAGGAGAGGAGGAGGAGAGGAGAGGAGGAGAGGAGAGGAGAGGAGAGAATAGAAGAGAAGAGAAGGAGGAGAGGAGGAGGAGAGGAGAGAAGGAGAGGAGGAGAGGAGGAGATGAGAGGAGTGAAGATAAGAAGAGAGGAGAGGAGAGTAGGAGAGGAGGAGGAGAGGAGAGGAGGAGAGAAGAGAGGAGAGAATAGAAGAGAAGGAGGAGAGGAGGAGGAGAGGAGAGAAGGAGGAGAGGACGTACCCTCTGGACTGAGTGGATTGCTTTGCTCCTGGTGGTTGTTCAGAGAGCCATTTGCATTTGAAGACGGGGTGTGCTGTGTTGGAGGGATCTGCAGGATGCCAAAAGAAACACAAATAGAGTCCTCAAACTAACCCACACACAAACATCACTATGGCAACCTAAGGCTTTAAAAGCATCCAGAAAACTCGCCGCACACGGAATAAACATCTTGTATTATCGTTGAGTCACTTTTGCGTGGCTTTGAATGATGGCATGAATAGGAGACATAAATGAAACCCAAGATATGTAATTAAAGCTAAACAATGGTTATGCGTTTGTCTATATCTTACATTTTCATTTGTATTCTTTACTAATAAAACAACCTGAACATGCTGCTCACAAAAATGACACATTTCCAAACAATAAAACATGTACATAAGTGCTAAAGTAAACGTATTATATAAATTGTGAATGAGGGCTACATTTAGTTTGCCCTTCAAAGTGTACAAGGTGCCGCAGATATTGGAACAGATTATCCTCCTCCATGATCCACTTCTCATCACTGCACATTAAACCGATATGGCTCCCAATGAATGATTCATTTCTTAAGAGCGTCATTTCTGCAGCAGTGGCATTTCAGCATCTTATGGAATTGTACAGTATACTTTTTATAAATGTCAGCCATAAATGCAGCATTAAAAAAAGACCAATTATACTTTACATTATGTACAGTAGTGTCCAGTCCCTTACTGCACCATGATGCCTTTCCCTCACAGTAAGGATATATTATTTAGTTTAAAAGAGTAGCCCTCTGGACTAAAGTAGAAATAGAACACTGTGAATGTCTCTTTTAAAACAGGATACAGAAAACAGCTTTTATTTATAATAAATAACTTCTTCTGGTGGCTTTAGTTGACCTGACAACGTGCAGAGTGAGCAGCTCTGTCATTGACATCCTGGTGCTCTCTGCCAGTGAACCTAAAAGCTGTCAGTAAATCATATACATCTCGTATCCAGCCAAATAAGGATAAGCCTCTGAGTGTTGACTGTATAGGAGGTTTGCCAGCTGGCTGCAGCAGTTAGAAACTAACATGCAGCTTACCGAGTTATTCATCAATAAATCAGATTAGTATGTCTGACTCAACCAAAAATAAATCATAGAGCTGCAGCGTAGACACAGATCTGTAGGTCATACAGTACATGGTTGTTAGTCTCTACATAGACCTAAAATAATTTTGTGCTATGTTTAGAATTCCGCATTATCCCCCACCTTAAAGTGCAGCCTTTATTAATGCGTCTTGTACAAGCATCTAATTCACAATAAGATTTACGACACTAACTAGATTTACTGAGTCAGTAGTCCAGCACTTTACCAAGTGAGTTATTACAGCTACTGTATGTCTGGTAAAGCTTTGACACTTTTACGAGAACAGATGCTGGCTTAAGACCAACCATAACAACTTAAAAGTAACCTGTGGGGTTTTGACTATTGGTAGTACTTTATGACTGGAGGTGTGAGGAGTTGGTCCGATTTTGTTTATATCTTGAAATTGTGCACAAGCACAGCAGTGATACGATATGGTGATAGATTTACGAGTCTATTTTTGCTCCCTTATGTTTCTGTCATGTGAGAAGTTATGTAATAATATGAATATACTGTATACCGACAGTATATGCTTTAAAAAACATATAGTGCACTGTATAGATAATGTGTTTTAATGCATCTTAATGTTGTTGGTGTCTTTGTATGATCCTCGCTGGAACAGACGGATGTGATATACCGTCTTACCTTGAAAGTGGGGGTGGTTCGGGGGCTGGTGGGGGACGGAGTGGAGGACTTGGTGGACTTTGGAGTTGAGATCTGGCTGATTGAGATACCGTTCACTATGTGGAGAAAAAACAGGAAGGAAAAATACAAGAGCAGGGAAAGAGTGAATATGAATGTGAGTACAACTGTAATTCTCACATGGTTTATACAGTGTGCACACATGTGGATAAAAAGGTGACTTTCATTTGCTTGTAGATGTGCACACACATCTACAGGTTTATTATCTATTATGGAATAATATACTATAACTATTTTATGACATTTCATGACAATTGTTTCACTCAGTGAATACAATTGTAAATTATACAAAGTAATAAAGTGAATGCCTCAAATGATGTGGTTATGTTAGTGTAAATAACCAAATATCAAAGGACTTCCTGTGTACTAATATTGAACAGATATCAATAATATACTTTAGTGTAACACCAGGAACACAGGCATGAGAGCTTTAATTGTTTGAGTGATTAATTCCCTCAAGAACAAACTATTTCTGCCTTCTTCTCTGCTGGTTTCTGCCGACATAATGCGTCAAACTTTAACTCAAAGTCTTTTCTGCAGAAACCCCGCTGAGCTGAGGAAATGATTTCACACCGCCTACTACCGAGTTTTTATTTCATCGTGCAATCACTTAGAGGGTTTCTCTTTCTCCCTTTACTCTCCCCTGGGTATTTATCTTGTTTTGTAATGGAGCCTTTGAAGCACTTTGGGGATATCTCAAACAGAACATTAGCTTTTAATGTTTGAAAAGTGAAGTTTAACTTTGAGCATCTCTGCTGCTTCAGATGGAGAGGCTTGTGATTTAACTGCTCAGTGAAAGCATGATTTAATAACAGAGCCTGAGAGTTTAATCAGTGCAGGGCTCTGAATCAGTGGATTCTACAGCAACTGGATTCTAATTAAGAATAATAGATGTGTATAATACAGGGCATCCCAAAGAACCAGAGGGATGGAAAGAAAGACATAAATCAAACCCAAAGAAAAGTAAAACATTATATAATGAATAATTTAGATGAGAAGAGTTTGTGGTTAAAATATCACTGAAAGTATCTCACCTCCAATCAGAAGAACAGACAATTACAATAACACTGGTACACATACCTGTACTAATGACAGAACATATTATAAATAGATGCACTAAGCCACTCTTCCTGTTAGGGTAAAGTAACATACCAAGGTTTTCAAATGCAGTGTTAAACCACAAAAGTCAGGCTTTGTTCACACGAGAATAAGAGAATGCTAAATTTCTAAGAAGCTATTGCTTTCTACTGAGTACCCTTATTACCAGAGGACATGGATATAGCAGGTGTGAGATGAGGCAAACTGTGTGGCACCATCATGAGCCTCACCTGGGGATTTGACTGGAGACTGGCAGGTGGAGAAGTGGACAGTTTGCCTTGCTGCATTATCAAAGGCAACACAAAAAAGAATAGTCAGGTAAATATGATTAGTACACACACACATACATTAAAAACACACTTTGAAGTGGTTTGAACTAACCAAGGGCAAACTCAGATTGCAGACACTTCAAACGGGCAAACACTCAAATAAGCTCTCTACCAGCCTTTACGTCAGTTAAGAGAACACTGATTACTCAGCAGAATGTCTCCATCTCTCAATGCACTACACAAAGTGCTAAGTCATTCTGTCACAGCTGATGGATCAGCATGAGGCTGCTAAATAAAAAAATCTATCACTCAGCCTGTCAGCTATGACCTTACTGTGCTCCTGTGCCATCATATTTTTTTAAGGGGGTTGTAAAACACACAATGTAATAATTTGAAAGACTTGACTTTACAGATTGTTTGCTTACTAGTTAGTATCTTATCTGTGCTTAAATATCTCTTAATTTAAAGAGCTAGCACATGCAGTTTCTATGTGTGTCCCACCTGCACCGGGGGACTTGCTGCGTTGGGAGGGTCCGGGGCTCTTGGCGGTCCGGTTTGGAGTCGCAGAGCGGCTGTGCGACGACTTTATCACTCTGCATTCTGAGAAGGACAAAACTCTCAGGGTCACCATCGCATATATTAACCTTCCCTTTACATAAACCTGTTCTTTCTGATGCAGAATTATGACCAAAAAGCTGCAGTGCCAAGGATACGACCCTGAATATGTTATTTATGTCGCATGATGTTATGAAAGCTGGTCACGCTTGATTATAGGAACAGAGAAGCAGCGAAGACAACTTTTTTTGGCAAAGCAGATAAGAAAAGCATTAATTACAAGATATTAGGGTTAAAGTTTAGATAAATCAGAATAGCCACACTGTAATAATGATTAGGGCTTGTACTCATTCAAAATGTTTTGATATCGATGCAACATTTATGCTACCAATTCCTTCTGAACTGATACTTTTCCAATGTTAAAATGTTGAAGCAGCCATACAATAAATGATTATTAGATAATGATAAAGAATCTGAATCATAGCTATAGGCAAATAACACTAGACAACTTTCAAGTTAGACAATTAATTAATACCCTCAACCGATACACATTTCAACTTGTGCCAGTGCCTAACACAGAGACTCAGTAACCAGCCCAAATGTTGACTTAACAAAAATGTAATTTAGGAAAATCCTCCCAACAATTGGCTAACTGCATATTGGCCATACAAAGTGAGGAGGCTCTGATAATTGTTGTAATTTCATAAAAGGAATTACAACTATGTCACTTTAAATGACACAGGGCTAGGCCAGACAAGGCTACAATGATCACACGGTTTTGTTATCATGGTGTTTGGTGCATTCCACATCTGTTGTGGCATTGCTGTTTGACTGTGTAAGAGTATATGTTGTAAAGAAGTGTGTGGTGAACTTGTCAGGGTTGAGTTAATGAGGGTGGGGCGATGAGGCATAATTTAATGGCACACACATGAAGAAAAACACGCCCACAGAAGCACACCCACAGTGTGTCTAATGTGTTCCCGATGCTACTTATCAACAGATGCATACGATTAAAAGGACTCTAAATATCGTTCACTTCTTCCTAGTATGGTGTATACAACCCATTAAACCAAATGTGTTTCTAGGGCAACCCCTGAAGTGAGGATATGCATCTCTAATGATGAGGTGCTTGAGCTGAGAACATAACTACTCGTTTTTACTTCTGTCTTTTTGGTGTTTTTTTCATTCATTTTGTGCCTTTTTGTATGATCCATTGCACAGGGCATTTTCCACTTCTGTGTTTCAACAGTAGAGTGTGTTCTTGACCCGTTACACAAGAGGAGTTCCTGTCCCTTTTGCAGAGGGTTAGAGTAGAGTGCCTATTTTGTTCCCTTAAAAGACCTCATTCTTAAAAGTGGAGCAGGAGTGTAAGTGGGACAGAAGCTCCAAACTATCTCTGAATACGACTATGCATCAGTCATCCTCAGTTACAGTGAACACAGAGTGTGAGGATGGGTCTCCCTGGTGTTAGCTAACCTGAACAAACAACACAAAAACTAAACAGGATGTCAATACTTTGGACTGTCTATAATAAACTAATGTTTCCTTCCAGAGAGGTTGTCCAGTGTACATCGCTCTGACAGAGAGTGGATCTGCTGGTTTAAAGAGGTCGTATGCTGCCCTGTGCTTTTGAAGTCTGTTTTTTTAAGATATGCATGTATTTAACAGGCAATTTGCATAAAATCCTCAAAGAATGAACAAAAAGTCATTTGCAAAATCGCATAATAACATTTAAGAGTGCAGTGTGTGTTTGATTCTTTTCTTTGGATGCTGGACTGATCGCTAACTATACTCTATGCAAATACAAAGCTGATTTTTCTATACATTTATAATAAACAAAAAATAATTGGTAAGATAATCATATAAGTAAAGAGTACAACAAAAACCTAATTTCCTGCTGTAAACTTCCTAAAAGGAAAAGAGTGTTGAAAGCACAAGTGAGTGAAGCATGGTGAGGAAGGACACACACACACACACACACACACACACACACACACACACACACACACACACACACACACAACACACACCACACACACACACACATACACAACACACACACACACACAACACACACACACACACACAACACACCACACAACACACACACACCACACACCACACAACACAACACACAACACACACACACACCACACACAACACACACACACACACACACACACCACAAACACACACACACACACACACACACACACACCACACCACACACCACACACACACACACACACACACACACACACACACACACACACACACACACACACACACACACACACACACACACACACACACACACACACACACACACCACACTCCACACACACACACACACACACACACACACACACCACACACACACACACACACACCACACACACACACACACACACACACACACACACACACACACACACACACACACACACACCACACACACACACACACACACACACGTTTAGTTAGTCTTAGTCAAGCCTACCAGTCATAAAGGCTGTGGAAGCCTTACCACTGTGATCCAACAGGAAGTCATCCTGCGTATGGCGGTGTTTCTCCATGCCACACGCAATAAACACATCATCGTCCCCGAAGAAGTCCTGCAGACAGATAATCTGGAGGAAGAAAGGAAACGAGAGAGAAGAAGTGAAAAAGATGGATAATACTTAGAAAGGTATAATAATACTTGTTATGATACCAAGAGTCTGGAGAATGGGATACTTTACACAAGCATTGCCTAATCAGACCACTACCACAGTGCCTATTAAGATTGTACTTCAAAATAATTCAATTTTGAGACATAGTGGTCCTTAAGATACTGCAACACAATCATACTGAATGTTTCACATAACTCTACTGACAGTTGGTGGCAAGAATGTAGTATTTCAAATATTTACAAAGCTTAGCATATGTTGTACGAGTTGGTCATCTGAGAAGAATACGAATGCCTCGTTGGTCTTGGTGGGAGTCTGTTATTAGATTGTGAACAACTAAAGCAATTTACTTTAGTTTCTTTCATAAGACGTGGATGATGTAGTTTGATTAACTAGTGTTCCTAAAATAAGATTATGTGATTTTCCTGCCTTTCATTCTACTTTGTGTTGGCTGTATTCTTTTTAATATCAAACATAGTCTCTTGTGCTCATTGAACTAGGCCAATACAATCAGTCTGTGGGATGTGTGTTGTACGGTAAGGTTGTGACTGTGTAAATGTGTGTGTATTGACTCAACAGCACAGAGAGATGGAGCATAACAACAGGACGAGGTCAAAACACCCTGACACCCAGAATACTGCAGAGTCAATGCAGAGTCATGAAAGCAGCAGTGTGTGTTTGTGCTGCTGCAGGGTAATCTGTCTTGCTTTTTCTATACTGTCTCACACTGTGATCGTCAGTTTTGTCTGAGTTAACTGACACACACACACACACACACACACACACACACACACACACACACACACACACACACACACACACACACACACACACACACACACACACACACACACACACACACACACACACACACACACACACACACACACACACACACACACACACACACACACACACACACACACACACCACACACACACACACACACACACACACACACACACACCACACACACACACACACACACACACACACACACACACACACACACACACACACACACACACACACACACACACACACACACACACACACACACACACACACACACACACACACACACACACACACACACACACACAGTTGCTGTAGGTGGACAAGTGGGAGGACAAAGGAGGAAAAGATCTGTTCATTATCCCATCCTTCATCGCACACAATTGCACCCACATACAAGAGCCCCCCCCACACACACACTGCCTTGCATATGTACTGTCTACATGCAAACACACACACACACACACACAAAACAAGAGTATGGAGGAGGAGCGCAAGATGGCAAAAGATTGTGGGCAGATGGATCCTCTGAGGGAGATTTGGGGGCTGACTCAGTGGGGTGGTGTGTGTGTATGTGTGTGTCAGTTGTTATCATGAACACTGTGATGGTCAGGAAATACTTAATTACTACTACAGAGCATAAACAATCTCCACAGTAGAAATAGAGTGGTGTGACATCTGACAACAAAAATAGTAATGTCGGAACATTTAAAACCACAACAAAATATCATTCCAGTATAGGCCTGAGGTACACATTCATTAATAATGAACAAGACCCTTCGCATGACACTTCTGCATGTCCTACATTCGGAAGCATCAATTAAAAATGAAACAGGAAGCCGTATCCATAACATGCTCATGAATAATACATAAACACCTTTCCTGGCCTTCATATGGTCTTTTTGTCTAATCTTCTGGTGGCCTCTTTACATGTCAACAAATACAAATAATCAGTGAAAGTAGATCAGGAGAGTTAATATGTGTCCACACTGAGCTGTGGTAAGTATCAATGGTTTGACATAGCTTGAATATTTGCCATTCTTTGGATGAGCTCTCCCTCTGGAATCTGGCAGCTGATCGCCACACCATACTGTCAGGGCACAGGTGTTAGAATCACCATGGCAACAGCCCACAGGGATAGTCCCGTGTCAAAAATGGACTCTGGTGTGGCGAAGGATATGATAGTGAGAGACTTTTGCATGCAGATATTAGATGATATGTCTCCCTGACCTCTGACCCGTGTACACACATGTCTGGTGCAGACATCATCATGTTCACACTGTGCTGCATTCCTTTCATTCACTTGATGGGCTGCGTTGGTATGAAGTACGCTGGTCGTTTGTTAGAGGACAATGTGACACTGCATGACAAAGGACTGCTGAAGTGAGCATTGTCCCCTGGCAGCAAAATCTCCTACAGTGGTGACATCTGCCGTCAGAGACCGACAGCTCAAACATTGAGAAATACACCATCTTGCTTTAAATGTAAAGATTTATACAATGTTTATATTTGTCAGTTAAATAAAGCGCTACAGCCAGCAACCAGTTTGCTTAGCTTAGCTCAAAGACTGGAAACAAGGGCAAACAGCTATCCTGTCTCTGTCCAACTTTTACAAAATCTAACTACATGCAACAGTAAAGCTCACAAATTCACCTGTTGTTTAAACATTGAAACATCTAGCTCGAAATAAATGATATATTTGTTCCATATTACAAGGTTATGTGCCGGGCTATAACGTCCTACAGTTTCTCTTGGTTGCATGGCAACAGCTTAGGGATAAAAAAAAAAGAGACCAGCACATAAATCCCCATTACACGTTAAAATGTAATTTGTGTTACTGATGGAGTCAGATTAGCAGTTTTACCCTCCTGTTAGTCTTTCTGCTAAACTAAGCATTCTCTGCAGCAGCTTCACATTTAAGGGACACTAGATTTGTATCAAATCTGGCAATAAACTGTCAATAAGAAGAAAGAAAACACAAAACATTCCCCAAAATGTCATGTGACGCTGTCTACAACCTAAATTCTGCATTTTCGTTTCTGAATATAAAAAAACTATTGACTAAATCCCCTCACATTCATTTGAATTGGTGTTGCTGCAGGACATGTTGGCTCAACACCAACTGAGGCAACAGGCTTATTGTGGAGAGATGGAAATACAGGGCTAGAATATTAGATATCTTGTTTGAGAGAGCCCCTGGCTGTAATCTAATTTACTTTCACCTCTACACACACCTCTCTCACTGCATGCTAGCACTGCTGTGGCTGTGATAAAATATATTTCAACCTGCAGGCGATGCCAAGGGGAAGGCAGTGAAATGGAGACAAATGTCTGAAAAGACCCAGGTTTACAATAACCTTATTAGGATGACTGTATATACCTGAATAAAGAAGAATAAATGCTTCGAACAAAATGTGTTGTTTGGTCAAAGGTTTTTCTTAAACATTATCATACTGTATGTGCAGCAGATCATTTGGATAAAAAAAAGGATTGTATGAATGTCAGATTGCATTACCCATGATTCTTCTTGCTCTTGTCAACCACGGCCAACATGAACAGCCATTGGCCCTCCATCACAAGAGCTGTTCTGCTAGGGCTTGTCTCGGCCAATCGGTGAAGTGTTATGTTTGCAGGGTCCTGTCATTGGCTGGTTGACGTGTCTTGAGGCTAAACTGAAGTTTGCCCTGTGAGATGCAACAACCCCCCTCCTCTTTTATGTCTGGTCTCTTGCTCTCACCATCAGTCTGTGTCTTCTGTGATGCCTGCTGTACATTCTGCCCTGCCACGCTTGGCAACAGAGGAACGACAGGCCGAGGGCTTCAAGTATGTGTGAAGGTGTCAGAAGAAATCAAGGTTTTTAACATGCATTTAAGAAATGTCATATCTAAGTTGTTTTCAATCAAACCAAAATGGGCAGTAGGTTCTGATAATGGTTGTCAGTGGTTTCAACAAACGTAATACTTGTGTGGTTGGATTTTCAAAGCATGAAAACAAACCAAAACATATATTATCCAAATATATTCCAAACATAAACAATGTAGTTCAACTGCACTGAGTAGGTGGGACTTGTCTTCTCTTGCTCCTAAATCAGGGCTTTGTTCCAAAAAGAAATGTCACACACCAGCAGGTGGTGAAGAATCCGGGCAGTGGAAAAGACAGTGACTGGCTAAACAAGATACACAGAAGAAGATACAGGCTCTCCTTATGGCTGACAGGACAACAGTCACAGTAATCATTGGGTACCATCAACCCCTTTTACCTCCAAACCCCTTATTGCTGCTCATCACACGGAGCCAGAGCAAGAGACAAAGAAGGCGGTTTGAGTCCTGAGGGAAAGACCTCTTGGAAGGTCAGCCTACACAGCACTCCTGCTAAAACAAAGGAATGTACCTATCATGGTATCTAGCATTATTTACCTACTCTTGGTTGGTATTATAGAAGGGTCATCAAGAGTACGCCAGATTTGTTTAAATTATCTAAGAAGAAACCCCAATGTTCCCAACTGTTCTCTATGAAAGTAGCTAGCAGCACTAGCTCCAAAGGTTTAGGGCATTAATACGCCATTGAAGAGTCTGCTGAATCTAAAAGCTGCAAAAGTCGTTCTATAATGTCAGAACGTTGCAACAGTGAAACACTCACTGCCCGTCCTTTTAAGCCTTTCTCAAAAGCCACATGGTTATCAGGTAGGTAGAAATTATACAGTCCTGTGACAGACATATATACCAGCATTTTCTTTCAGAGCATATGATTTATTGTATTTCTGTCATGATGTAAAGAAAATGTAAACAAATATAACAACAACAACAATTCTACATTATATTACCCACTCATGCTTTAACTCTCCCATAAGTACTTCTAACTCAAGACTATCCAGATAGCTAAATACGTATACAATTCACCAGGGTGAAAACAGGTTATTAACCCTGTTTTGACTCTTACTAACAGACAGGAGCTGCTCCCGGAGTCTGTTTAATACTTTTGGATTAGAGCAGTAAATCTCAGACGTGAGAGAGCCAAGACAAGGCAGCGGCTGCACAAAAAGGAGCACTGAGACATCTAACACCATCTTCATTACCTCACTAGAGTCACAACATTGGCTGCATTTAACATCCAAATTCAAGTTGCGTTCTCTAAAACATTCAACAGAAAACGACAGAAAATAAAGT